TGAAAAGAAATGAAAAGATGAAGTACAAGACAATAATTCAATTTTTGTTTGAGAAACCCCAGTGATGTCGGCTTGCATGTTATTTGGCCCTGAACTTTGTTGATTTTACACTGTTTTCAATGGGGCTTGAATTGGTTCAGTGCACCCTTTTAAGGGTGCAGACCAGTAAATCAGTCCGAAATTGCCTCCGCCGGCCAAATCACGATTTGCATGCCCTCAAAATCTTTTGAGCATGCTGTGGGCCATGAACTTGAGGGTTTGTAAAAAATATGGGTGGAAGCCGTGCACAGGACTGGGAACTTGCAGTTCTGTGTAATTTGGATGTAATTTGGACCCTAAAAGCGCTCTATTTTGCAATGGAGTGTAGGCATCGTTTTTCAAAATGGCGATGGGCTTCAGGACTATTTTCAGGGGTGATCATCTTCAGATGGAAATTTCTCCTAAAAGTCATCAGTTGACCCCCAAAAATTTAAAAGAAAATGAAAGATGAAATAAGCTTTAATTTGATGTGTGTCTCGAACACCTTGGAGAGTTGTGAGTATTTTTCCCGAATTTTTGAAGTGGGAGCATTTATACCATTGGGGTCTATGGAAGTTTATTTACTGGTCTGCTACCTTAAGTGGGTATGAACAGCGCCCTCATGAGAGCTTAACTGGTACACGTAAACAAGTTTAAAGCAAGTTACAAACATCGTACACCGACCAAAGAGACTCACTATATTATCACATGATTCGGTGAATAACTAGCAACGCCCAGCTCCGGCATGAAGTGTCTTTTCGCCATTCTCACCCATTGTGAACATTGTAATGGTGCTGAGCGTCTCTTATATACGTAACTATGCAAAAAGCTTGCCCAGAATCATGTGAAATTGACTCTGTGGCATACCTGTTTGTCTTTTTACACTCTAGTACAGCTAGGATTTAAACCTTCTCTCTTTTGAGAAACCAACTTAAAAATGTTTTGCCGACATTCAAGCGTTATGTACTCGGGCCCCCTTTAAGCATAATATTGGCCTTTTATTTAACAGGTCTTCTTTCCTGCCTCGCTAAAATTGATTTAAACTGATTCACTTCAGAACCAACTTGTTGGTTTTGTTTATTTTATCCGTTTGATTTCCTGTTCTGACAAAAACCTTGATTATAATAGGCTTTTAAAGTTCATTTGGGACAGGTAGACCAAATGCTATGACAATGACTGATTATTAATTCCGGTATTTGTTTTCATCCGAATGGATGGTTTCACCTTGCTTGTTAGGCCCCCTATACCGTTTTCAACAACTGTTCCAAGTGTACTCCAGCAATAGTCTGTCTGTTTCCTGAGATGGATTAGATAATTCAGAAACCAGGGGAGCAAGCAAATTACGAATTAACAGCCAGAATGATCAGTTTTGAAAACGAACGTCTTTAGACACCGCAGACATTCTGTCAGTGATCGCAGATTGTCTGCGACTTTTGAGAGGCTTGCAAGCGTGTATGACTAAATACCCGATCGGAATGCAGACATGTCCCTCTTGGGTCTCGACTTGGTATCGAGACAACGCCCACTGCCAGAGATCCTCCAGATATGCCTCCTGATCCGACTCCGGTATTCGCGCTGTTATGCCAATTGCAGTCTTGAAGAACACTGCAAGGATGCAAAGACAAAATATGATTATATAGCTTAATATTCCAAAATGGCGTAAATCGAGCAATATTAAAAATGTGTGCCGTTTAGCAAGAAACTACAGAGATGGCAAAATGAAGAAACAAGTCTGTGCAAGCACAGAAATTTAGCATCCCTATCATTGCGACGAAAGCAGAAAATATCTTAGTCTCGTAAGGCCCCCCAAAAAGTCTCCGGTTTCTGGTATGCGCGCGCGTCGCCGTAGCCATGCGCGTAGGCAAAATGAAAAAGTTTTTTTTTCAATGAAAGATGATGTCTCAAAACCGCCAAACTCACTGGTTTGACTGGAATCCTGCTGCTGCACATTTTTAACGTGTTTTTAGATGGAGTTATATTCGAGAATAAGCTTTATGTGGCCTCTCTGGACTCCCAATCCCATATAGGCCTATTTGTACTAAGTTTAGTCAGGCACCATTTGCAGTCATCAGCCGACATTTGAAGCAAAAAAGTCGGGTAAAAAAAAAAAAAGCCGCGTCGCCTCACCACTTTTTGGGCAAGCTCCATACCAGAAACCGGAGATTTTTTTTTTTGGCCTAAACTACAGAGTTGCTAGCTAGTTATCATATACTTTTAAACAGAAATGTAACACAAAGCTTTCCTTTTGTCATCGTTAAACCCCTATTGATTGACGTATGATTTGACAATTGACTGACTTGCTACCCCTGGTACATCTGATCGGTGTTGTAGCAAGGGCGGATTCGGGGGGGGGGGGGGCCAACGGGGACCATGCCCCCCTCCCCCCCAAAAAAGAACCCAATTTTTTGAAAGTGACATCGCAATAAAGGCAGGCACTGCGTACACCACCATCTTTACCTCAAAAAGATTTGGTTAAAGTGGTCAGAAATTGCCTCAGATCGCACCACAGAGCATCTAGAATCCAAATTTTTTTCGGGCCCCGAACCCCACGCCGTAATTTTTTTAACCCACTTTTTTGGGGGGGACCAATTTTTTTTTTGCCCCCCCCCCCAAAAAATTGTGTTCTGGATCCGCCCTTGTACCACAGAAGCTATCTATTGAATTGTGAAACTCTATAAATCCTGAGCATGTGTGTAAATCATCGATTGAATGCATATAGGCTGTGATTTGAAAAAGGATGACACTAAATACAAAAGCCCCGCAATAATTTCACAAGTTTCCCCATATAAGCGGCTTATCGTGTGTTGTTTGCGACCGAGTTCTCCAAGGAATGGTCTTTTAAAAGCATTTTCTTTGGAACATGATATTTCCCCTTTTTGTGTTTCCCATACTAAGCATGGGCAAGGATTTTTTTCAAGAGGGGGGGCAAAACATATTTTTCCCAAAAAATTCTTGTATTTCGCAACAAATTCTTGATTTATCAGTTTTGGAGGGGGGCAGGGACATTTTGCCTCCCCCCAACTCATTAAATTTACACCACTATGACTTCGCGCCTCTTTTTTTCTCTTTTCTTCTTTTTTTGGGGGGGGGGTGTTGCTTTTCCAGGAGGGGGCAAGCGCCCCCCCCCCCCTTGCCCCCTCCCTCGCGACGCCCATGATACTAAGATTATAACCTTAACTGAATAAGTATATATATTAGATATAGTATAACGAAAGACTACCTCGGAAAACTTTACAAAATACGAATGTAGTTGGTGATTACATTTCTTAAGTTTAAATTCAAGATTTTTTGCCGGGTTTGATATTGTAAACTATACGAACCTTTGTTCCTTTCCCTCTGACATAATTTGGCGAATAAACGTAACATCTGCTGTGGAATGGGTTCCCATGTACCTGCATATATCACATCACTGTAGAAAGTCTGCGCGAAAAAAACCGAATTACTTTGTTTGAGTCATATGCGTGTTCATTGCATAGCTCTTTATAATTCATCGTGCAAAGTGGATTATACGTTCTTTACAAATTACAGAGCTTAAATAAACATTTCAGATTCCGTAGGCCCCCTTAAATTCAACCAGTATATCGATGCGTTGCTTAAAAACACTTTTTATATTTGTTTAATGCGGAAACTGAGTTCGCGGTTACACCATGTGAAAGGAAATCTCTTTTGTTAGACACATTAAAAGTACATTTGACCCATTAAAAGTACAAGATCATATCCAGTATTTGTAAAAGAAAAAAAATTCAGACCATCAGCGTCCCCCGAACTGAAGGTCATTCACCAATTACAAAGTTATTTACTAAACGACATTAATCATTGAAACCGAATGAAAGGGGTTTATTTTTCTTTGTTTACGCAACAACGAGGGAAAATCCGTTACCTCGATGTCTATTGATAAGTTTGGCCTAAGTACCAATAATAATATGCCCCTAGACTCAGCAATGGAAATTTCCATTGCGGTGGGCATGACTTTACAGATTTCACCTGCAAATGGTTTACCGTGCTCCCGCACGGTAAACCATTTGCAGGTGAAATCTGACACTGAGCTTGTATTATTACAGTGTTCATCAATATCACTCACAAGAACTCGTGTAGCACAACACAAAATTCTGTTCTATTGACAAATTTCAAATTAACAATGAAACCGAGGGCCTCAGTGCTGTCTTTAGTTGAGAGGATTAAAAAAGAAAAGGTCCTCAGTGCTGTCTTTAGTTGAGAGGACGAAAAAAGAAAAGGTCTTCAGTTCATACAATGGCTAATTAGCACTGAGAGACTCGGTTTCAATTCCAATTTGAAATTCGTCTATTGATTCAGAATGGCAGGAAGTCTTTTCATGCATCTGGAGTACACTGCAGTGGGCCGGGTTTAGTCTGTTACGGGGTAATCCTGTACGAAAGAACTGCCCGGCAATTGCATTTAAGAAATTACTCTTTGGTAGCTATTACATTTTATCATCATATTTTTGTGACTCAGTTTGATCAGGTAATTAATTTATATTAATTCATACGTCTCAAGTATTACAGCTTTGCATTGGAAGACCGGTTTTGCAAACACTTTTGCGCATGCGTCTAATTTGCATACTTTTTGCAGATCACGTGACGTACATTACCCGGCCACGCTGCTACCTGGCCGCCGTGGGTTGTACCTCTTGGTATTTGTTTCAACTGGGGGCACTATAATAAGGCATTCAGTTATCTGTACTCGAGTCTGGTCACGTCACCTTTTGTTTTAGGAAACACTTCTTTGATTTCAGCAATGAATACATTATAACATATTTACACACTATAGTTAACAAACAGATTACGAAATAATTGTACATTATCCACCCGCCCGCTGTAGTTGTGCGCACGCGCGCGCGCGCGCCTGTTATTGTAAGAAGTGATGTCATGGGGGAATTCCCAACAACGAGTCTAGTTGTTGTGCAACGATCGATTCACGCCACACGCTGGTATATATATAAAGTCCACGAAAGAAAACTAGCTACCTGTTAATACTGACTGCAGTGGCACGAACACGTACACGGGCATCGTATTGTAGGTTGAGCTCTCCGAAGTTCTTCATTGTTACAGCTGTAATTTACCAAAGAAATTGAAGAGACAAGTAAGACCCTACGGAGGTTGGGGGAAACATTATCTTGGAAAAGACAGAAGTAGGCCAGGCAACAAGTTATACGGACGGGGGTAAGTTTATGGTGTCTTAGCGATGCGATATTTATGATGACCTTGTAAATGGCATGGCAAAGAATATTTCGTGTGTGACTCTGATAATCTGACTGGGTCAAGTGTGGACTGTTAAAGTGGCTGACACTGCTTGATTGCTATGCTTGGGGCGCCAAGTGCACGATATTTTCATGGTCTATATGCAGTCCTTTTTACAATTCTTTTATAGTGTCAATTTTTGTATAGGCATCAAGTGTACCGTGAACCATCGCAATGTGTACGCAATAGACCGGTGAATGGCTTAGTGGTCTATCAAGGCCAATTGAGAATTTTTGCTAGGTCTATATATTTAGGGCACACACATGAAGCGTAATGCCTATGTACCCAGGTAGGCTACAATTTTGCCATTTGGCATTGGACGTTTCATTTTTTTTCCCAGCAAAAATTAATGCCGCTTGATTTGAGTTACACACGTTTCATGGAAATTTATGACTGCTTGGGATCTATAGTTAAACTATGCAAAAGTGGTTAGATCTCTCTAAGTTGTTTCAAAAACCAATTCCCAGAAACACGTATATATCTTTTGTTTTTATATCTTTCACTCAGTGACTTAGGCGCGGATCCAGAGGGGGGGGGGGGGGGGGGGGGGGGGGGGGGGCAGCTCTGTCAAAAAAAAAAATTATCATACAAATTCCTAAAAAAAATAAGTCGAAACCCCTGAGACACCCCCCCCCCCCAAATTATACTTGTATAATGTCCACCTGTTCAAAATACGGTACACCATTCTGTAATGTAGTGTTAATAATCGTCGAATTTGAACATCGCCCCCCCCCCCAGTTATTGATTTTACGGAGGCCAAGTGTCCGGATAAAATACCTGTGTACATTTTCGGATTTTTTGCTGATGAAACCCCCTCCCCCCCTTGCGAAAATTCCTGGATCAGCCCCTGTGACTTTAACAGAACGAAACTATCTGTTTAACCTTAGAATTTTCAAACAACCAAACATGTATACCACAGATGCTATCTATTGACTTTTGAAACTCTATAAATCCTGAGCATGTGTGTAGATCATCGATTGAATGCATATAGGCTATGATTTGAAAAAGGATGACACTGAATACGAATGTGTTGGAACCCAAAAGCCCCACAATAATTTCACAAGTTTCCAATGATTTGATGATAAGCGGCTTATCGTGTGTTTGCGACCTAGTTCTCCAAGGAATGGTCTTATTAGCATTTTCTTTGGACCATGATATTTCCCCTTTTTGTGTTTTCCATACTAAGATTATAAGACATGATAGGCGCATAAGCATTTCAGATTCCGTAGGCTCCTTAAATTCAACCAGTAGAGTGTATAGTGTATATACTTCGATGCTTAAAAACAGTCGGATATTTAAGTATTGCTCGCATTTTTCATTTCCCAAATTGTTTAATGCAGAAAAAGCTGAGTTTGTGGTGACACCATGTGAAAGGAAATTTTATGAGACCTATTAAAAGTACATGTAATTGCCAGATTAAAGTTAATAATATAAACGGCATTAATCGTTGAAACTGAATGAAAGGGGGTTATTTTTCTTTGTTTATGCAATAACGATCAGGGGCAATCCCTAACCTCGAATTCCATTTATAAGTTTTGATCATGTTCTTAGTACAGTGCGAAGATTCCCCTAGACTCAGCAATGGAAATCCGCGCATGCTCAAAATGCTGGAAACAATATTTCCCACGGAATTTTCCATTGCGGTCGGCATAAATTTGCAGATTCACCTGCAAATAGTTTATCGTGTGGGAGCTGACAGGTTGCATGTATAGTCTTCATAATTATCACTCACAGGAACTCGTATCCTACAGCAACAAAAAAAATCTGTTCAATTGACGAATTTCAAATTGGCACTGAAACCGAGGGCCTCAGTGCTGCATTTGTTGAGAGGATTTTAAAATGGTCCTCAATGTCATACAATGGGCCTTATGCACGAGTTGGCCATTTTTTTGTCGAGTTCCCTGAATGTATTTCATTCATTGTTAACTGTTGAATGGGATGGCGCCAGACTATTTATGCAGGCATTATCCAGCCTTATTTTACTGTCAATTTTTTTTAATCTGGTTTTTAACATTACGTATGTTTAATTAAATTTTGAATTATTCATTGAAGTAGACGGGACTTAATTAGTAATTAAGTTGCTTTCATTTCTCTTCGCAAGTTAAAAAAAAATAGGATTTTACCTTACTTTCAATTCAATACGGCCGACTTGTGCATAAGGCATATGCCTTAGCACTGAGAGCCTCGGTTTTAATTCCAATTTGAAATTCGGTTCTTCAGAATTGCAGGAAATCGTTCCGTGCATGTGGTGTAATATTATGTACACAATGGGTCAGATTTAGTCTGTTACGGGGTATAATCCTTTACAATAGGACCGCCCGGCTCTTTTCACCAGCCTGATGACGTTCGGGGAGTCAGTCAGTCAGTCAGTCGGGGGGGGGGGGGGAGTCGGGGAGTCAGTCAGTCGAGGAGTCGGGGAGTCAGTCAGTCAATCAGTCAGGTATAAATAGGACATTAGGCTGGCCCTCTGTGACTAACCATAAAAAACAACCCCTATATTTTTCATCGATTTCGCCCATCTATTTAGCTCGTACTTACTCATTTACTTAACTCATTGACTAAGTGAATGTCCGAGGCATTCAATAAAAAGTGGAGAGCAATTGCATTTAAGAAATTACTCTTCGTTTGCTATTATTATCATGTGTTATGATTCAGTTACGATCAGGTCATTAATTTAAAGAGAATATACAACATGTGCAAACATCAAAAAATAAAACTACCAAGTTTTTACGAAATACCTTAATAGGATGTTGGTAGATGACAGTCTAAAGCATCCTGTAAAATTATGGCACCTGGTGTGAAGTCATTCTCAAGAAAATGGTATTTTTGTATACATTTCCAACGGTGGTCGGCCGATCACTGTTGGAAAAACCTAACTATTTTTCAACAACTCCTCCAACTTTACACTTTTTTCAATCCAAATTTTGTTTGCTATTGCATGGTTACATGTTCACGAACGGGTGCAGGCCAGCTAGACTGGTTCCCTTACCTTACAATTTTCCGGCATCTATAAATTGATCCATTTTATATTTAGTGGAGTCAAGGAACCAGACTACTTGAACATTTTTGTTTTTCTTGGTTTTTCCAGCATTTTCGAACACAAAACTTCAAACATATTAAAAGCCAATGATGTACATTCCCTTTAAATATAGTCGCTCTTTAAAACATTCGGGAGTTTTCACCATAAAACCAATGAGCACGTATGAGTTCGAACAAACACACACCAGCCCCTGTGTAATTAACCCCATAAACAAGATTGTATAGATTAGTAGCTTTAATGGATCATTCTTAATTCATATTAAACTTTTTCATATCTCAACTTATCGCAAACTATAAGAGGTTGAATGTTCAAAGATACAAATCAAATCGAGTTCACTAGTCACAAACAGGTCACACACTAGTTTAGAGTGGTGGTTTGCTGCATAAAATACCCATCATCGATGGAAATTTCCACGTATGTGTCACTGCTCCCCAAAAATTACATGGAATTTTACTGGTCCCTTGATGACTCAATAATTTACAACACTTTTTTTGTCCAGTAACCGTCGGGATTTAGTTACCTTTATCATGCTTTCAAAGACCCGGCCTGGCGCTGTGAAAACATTCAATAAAATAAACACAGGTTCAGTTTCGAAAGACTTCTAAATAAACCGGATGTCATTACTTTTCCTTTTTTTGATGAAATATGGAGTAAATGGTCTTAGTACTTCAAACTAACAAAGTTTCCTTCGTCGTAAATTTTTGCACTTATATACACGCAATGTGAAGTAGGGATAAAATATTATTCATAGCAACACACGGTAAACGTTGTCAAATAGTTCTTCAAGATCTGGTCCTTTCGGATTGTTTGTTTATTGTTTAATATTTTGCTGGCCAGAGAGGGCCTTAGTCTTCGTTGGGTTTCAGACCATTAAATAAACTGCCATAGGCTACACCCCAGTGATAATTACACCCACTCCCAAAAATATAAGGAAAAATACTCACAACTCTCAAAGGTGTTTGAGACACACATCAAATCCAAGCTTAGTTCATCATCTTTCATTTTCGGTTCAATTTTTCGGAAGTAATCCGAACTTTTGGGAGAAATTTTCATTCAAAGATGATCACCCCGGAGAGTAGTCCTGAAGCAAATCGCCATTTAGAAAAATGATGCCTACACTCCTCTGCAAATTAGAATAGTTTTAGGCCCAATTTCTTCATACGAGCTCTCAGTCCTTTTCACGACTTCCATCCTTCTTTTTTTACCTCAAGTTCATGGCCCATAAAATGCTCTAATAGCAAAAACGTTAAGGACATGAAATTCGTGATTTGGCCTGCGAAGGCAATTTCGGGTCTATTTACTGGCCTGTACCCTTTATCCTTGTTTGTGGCGTATAGTCGTCAATAAAGGCTTGCACTCAGTCGTTTTCCCTCGCAACTTGCCCCAGGCACTTGACTTGAGGCAGTAATATCATAACTGTATATGCTTTGCAGTGTTGAGAATGGTCTACCCCACATACGTACTCTTGAACCATTTTCTTTAAACTTCAATCTAACATTAATATTTCGTATATATAAGTTTAGAGATCAACTTAATCAAGGACATTCGGGGTTTTTTTATCTTCAGGAATAAAAACACACCTAGGCCTACTTTCCTCGATTTATATCCTGATGTACACCGGAAAACAATTGAAATGAAAGTGTTCTCGTTTGTTCCTGAACTGCTTCGCAAGTTCCTGGTTTCTCAACTTCAAGCATAATGCTTTGGAGGCCAATTGCAAACGGAAAATGTCCAATTCTTTTCATCCGTGCTTAAACGTTTTTCAATCGTTTTACGATAAACGGAAGTAGTTGAGGGTATGTGGAAGTCTCGTTTTACTTTCGATTTTCTGCTGATGACCTCAACATTATTTTTCCAACTAGTTCCTTGTAAACTCTTTCCAAAAGCATTCCTCGAATGGCTGTGTACTAGGAATACAGCAGACAAATATCCCACAATTGCGAACATTTGAAGGTGTTGTGGGTCTCAAGGAATAATATTCACAAATAATGGCTAACACTTTGCTGCCGTACGGTGGTCTTCCAAACCGAACTCGCAAACCTTAAACCTTCAGACAAATTCGATCCACTGATCACTGCACACAAGCTCGAGGCCCCCTCCAATGGATAAACCACTGTGCAAGCTATACTGACATTACAGATTATATGAACTGTAGCTAGCAAGGTGTTATTTCCGCCATTAAAGGGGGCCTTCGTAATAGAATCATTGATAACGTGCCCTGATTGCATGGTCTGTAGATTGAAAGTTCAGTCAAAGGTTATTGTTCTGATTTTTGTATAAATTGCATCCTATCGTGGACCCAGTTGCAACATATTGACCGTTGCTTCATCATTTCGCATCATGTACCGGTATTCCCCGTCGCTTTTACCGCATAGCCATACAGCATGTGTTTCAAGCGTAAAAATAATGACGAGTCATACGTCTCAGGGTATTACACGGGTATTGCCCGCATTTGTATTTCATAACATCAAACATCCCCACATCTATCTTTGCGCTGAAATCTTACAACATAACTAGCGCTGGGTCTGCTGTAGACCATTAGATCGTCCAGAGACTGCACCATATTACGTGCACACCGTGTACATGTATGTGTTTAGTGCATGCATGCTTCGATGAGTGAATACTAAGCAAGTTCTTTTTGCGGTAGGTAATGTTGCATGAAATATTATGTGCTAGGGACCAATAATTATCTGATTATCTTCATTGTCAGGTAGACGCGTAGTCAACGGATCGTGAAAAAGCATTGTGCATAATTTGGGCAGAAATGAGTACAAAAAAGGAGAGTTCGTTTGCCTTTTACCCTTTGTAGTGTTGCGATATTAGGTGTGTGTGTTTTTTGGGTGCATACCGATGTTCCCCAATACCGATGTTCTCCGAACCCTGTAACCCTAACCCTAACCCTAATCCTAAGGATTTCGGGGAACATTGATAGAGGGGAACATCGGTATTGGGGAACATCAAGTAGACCCCCTTTTTTTTTTTTTTTTTTTTTACTTTTATCCAGTCGATTAAGTGTGATGTAGAACGTAGTATCTAGAAGAAAAGAAACACGTGATCAGTTAAGGCAAGAAACCAAAATAAAATGCTCAGTATCGTGATATATATTAAAAATCCCCAAGTTATTTCACAATCTCACTTTTTGACTTTCGGTGGTTTTGTACATCGATAATCTCTTCTGTTTTTCGGGGATGAATCTGAATCACTCATTCATTCATTTCTGTTATTTGTCTCAGCTCCTGGCCCAGAGGGCAAAATTTTAAAAGACAATTACATTATAAACAATTAATTCTATATGTAATCGGGTAATGCTTGGCAGCTATTTCGTCTTCATCAACTGAATTGTACTTTGCTGGAGTTGGGATACATTTGCATCGACTGTGTGGTAGTAGGCCAATACGACGAGTATTGGAAATTGCTCTTTCGGCGTGTGGCCCCTCAATTTGGTGATGTTTACAGCTGGCTTAGCCTGAAATGTATGCCTATACATGCCCCCGTTTGATTGACGGTCGAACATGTTTTCTCTCTGTAAGCAGTTTGCATTGCTAATTACGGCCCTCTGCTTCTGGGGGATGTATATGGGGCTGGTGATAAGTTGTATTGTAATGTTGCTGAATTCGATGTCACATTATTGTGCAATCAATTTGCTGTTCTAGGTTCGAATATTCTCCATTTTGTTTTTCAACCCTTTAACCCTAATCAGGCCGGGTTATTTTGACCATCTCTCAGCCGGGGGGGGGGGGGGATCTCGGCCATTGAGTGACGAAAAATTTTGAAACTCGGTACATGCATAGAGTAACTCATCATAAACATTCCGCCCCGGCCCTTTTAAGGTTAACCCAATCCTTTCCCTCGTCTTTTCTTGCCACCCTGTCCTGATAACGTTCCATTACCCATCCGCCTCCGAAATTTCCCCACTAAGCACATAACCATACGATCGAGGACCGTTTTCATCAAAAGACCCAACGCTCGAGGACTGAGAGGCTCTTTCTTTCTGCCCGCGTGTCTGTCCTCTATCATAAAGCCATACATGTAAAGCTGATCCTGTCTTCGTTTCACGTCCACTCCTATTATACAGTGCGAGTCCAAAAAAAATATACACTTTTAAAATTGGCCATAGTTTTATTCTGTAGCAATAGATAACATATTTTCATATGTATTTTTAGAGTAACTCTTCCCGCTTCTTTTGGTGACTTGATTAGTTTTCATGCATGACTGCACAGGAGACAATTAAAAGGGTCGGGTGAAATCTGACTTGCACCAACTGGTCAGGGCTGGATAAGAAAGAAACAATTTAAAAGAACAGTCATGCATGAAAACTAATCCAGTGAAAATGTCACCAAAAGAAGCAGAAATAGTTACTCTAAAAGTACATATGAAAATATCTTATCTATATTACTACAGAATAAATCTATGGCCAATTTTAAAAGTGTATAGTGTTTTTTTTTTTGGTTACTTACATTGTATTTACAGCTCACATTTTTGTTTTCTCTGATTTTTGATGGACACAGGTTAAGTTGAAGACAATGGGCGGCTGTAGTAGTAACTCCAAATCGAGGGCTCTCCTACTGCTCTGCCTGCTACTACAGACGATAGTCCTTGGTAGGAAGAAACTTTGTTTTTTTAACCAATTTGTTTTTTTTGTAACCAATTTTTTTAAAAACCAAAATGACACCTTCAAAAGAGACGGAATGCAAAACAATGCATTAAAGATATCTCATCTAAAAAAATTCAAACCCTTCTTTTTCTACTTCTAGGGATTGCCAAAACGAAAATCTACATGAAGACGCCAGGGGTATGTGTAGCTTTCGGGGACTCAATTCATTTGGTCTGTGTACTAGGAGAGGCATCAAACGAAGACACACAGATAGCGTTCTTCAAGGGATCGATGCCACTCGCCAGTAACAGCAGGGTCCATATAAATAACGACCACACTGAACTCTGTCGAGAGATCGGCTCGAATCGTAAATGTGATCTGAGGGCGAGTCTCACAGTAGATGATGTATCGGCGAGCGATAAAGGCGTCTACTGGTGTCAGGCGACAGAAAATAATATTACAATAAAAGCAAATGCGACAGTGTTTGTGCAATCACAATCCGGTAAGAATACATCACATTAATGTTCTTCGTTTTTGTTTTTAAATGGAATCGCCATGCCATAGCAACCTGAATCGCAACTGAGCTACGTTCCATTAATTTCGCAAACGTCTCAAGTGCTTGCAAACCACAGAGCTATATTAAATTACAAACCCACGTCGATTTCACAAAACGTCGAGTCACACAGCCTTGCACAACTTTTGACATTGCGCAACACTTCGGATATGACAAAATGAATCCGCGGATTTCGCAACAAAGATGACGCAACTTATTATGAAGTCATTGAAGGTGGCGTGGTTATCTGACGGAAAATTGAGCATTTTTTAATGACTATTCTTGACAGTCGTAGAGTCTGTCATTGCCCAACTTATCAACGTTTATTTAACAAAACATCCACGACTTTGTTTTTAAAAGTTTAATGAAATGCAACTTTTTTACTCGTGTCAGAATTTTGAAAAGTTGCCGCTTCTATAGAAAGTCACACAGATTTTTGTTTTCTTCAAATTTTCTTCAAACTGGATGAATGAAAACCGACGACAGTTTTGCGACCGAAGTAAACAAACAACCGTCGTAAAAGCTTTGATTTCTCCATGTCAAAGCGGTGTGTAGTTATTGCGTAGCTGCACAACAGGATTTGTTGGCAGAAGCTCCATTTATACTTGTGGCTTGAATTGGCAACCCGCTGTTTCGTGAAATCGGCTGTTACGCTTGTAGGTTTTTAATTAGCTATTCATCAACCAATTCTAGTCGAGCCTCTCCTTTTAGTGATCCCTAAGAAAACCACTGTGGTGCTATGAACGTGCTTAGTGCGTCGAAGAAGTAATTTCAGTAACAAGGTTTTTATCAAATGGGGTGTGTTTACCTTTTAGGTCCTATTTTCAGAGTAATTGAAGGAATGAGATATTTTGTTTTTCATGTAATTTCATCAATTCCAATAATAACAAAACTAACAATCCAAGGACGAATGTTCAAAACCTTTTGAAGTTTCAGCTCAGTGGATACTACATGCTTTCGAAAGTTTCGAGTAAACAGTTCACACTATACTGCCTAACATTTCGATCACGAAACACGATTTCGTCTAGACACAACTCTTTTATTTCCAGTAATCAGTCAGTTGACTGATCGTTGGAAATCACCTACACTTCCCATTTTCTTCTAAAAGCAAGCACAAACTGGAGTAATTTCATGGGGTGTTCAATACCAGTACGTTTTTTTGGATAAGCCTTTTGGAAATAATTCGGTTGGTTACTTTTGGAATATTGGAATGCAGATGGTCTTGTAACTTCTGTTCCTTGCTCTATGCTTTCACTTATATTCTCTATTTACTAGAACTTGAATTGCCCGCCAATGTGATGACAGTTAATCTGGGGGACAATATCACTGTCCCGCTAGACCGAAAATGCGACCTCTATGCACCAGTCCAAGTCACCAGAACGAGCAGGGATGGAACGGTCAAAGAGCTTCCCTACCGGCACGACCACGAAGAATATCAACATGCGTACGTCACCAAGCTAGAGGGTGCGCTCTTCATCCCAGGCTTCAATTGCACGGACGAAGGGAACTACACCTTTACTGTGATCGCTGGCCGGAACTACAAACCTGTGTTCACGTCAAAATCCATTTACATAAACGGTCAGATTTAACGCACATATAGGTTCATCTTTCCCAAAAGTAACAGAAGCCTATTAGATTCAATATCGTACTGCATTACACTAAACACCCCATGAAGTTGATCCGTCTGCATGGCTTCCTGCCATTTCGAAAAACCAAGAAATGTTGGTGGTATCCAGTGATCAGCCAACTTACTGATTTTTTTTTAAATAAAGAGTGATGTTGACGAAATGACGAACACAATGTGTAAAATGATCATATATAACTTTTACATAAGAGTGTACATTATCACATTGTTTTTCTAGGAAAGCTGGCAAACTGATCCATATGGGACCTTCATGTATGTGTCTCTCTCCACACATAGTGTCACACACAAATTAGCTGGAGAACATGCAAACAAATAATTTATCAATATCTTTGGTCAATTTTCATATACAGCTTCGTGTGAAGGTTGCTGCCAAGGAGACGCTCCCGTGACTTCAACCACGATCAGTAAGTTTGGCCGATTGAATTCAATTTTTGTTTCTTCAGGGGAATGGGTCGGGGTGCATTTAAAATGAAAACCGGAAAGGCGGCGATTTAAAGCACGCCAAGTTTTCAAAAATAGAAGAAGGATCTGTTCTCTTGGGGAAAATGGCAATCAGCACTTTTATTTCAACTGTTGGGTCTATATATTCCCGATGTTTCCACTTGCATTTCCTTTAGCACAGGTTCGGTTTTATTTGAAAACGAGGCTTTGCGGGCGATCAACAACTCGTGAACACCCATTGCTTGTACTGTATAGCATTATCGTACGTCTGGGGATAAGCCATTAATGTTTGACCCTGACACTTTCGGAATAGCGTATTTCGTGTTCCGAATTACAGGAAACCGCATCATTATATCCAGCCCTATTGGCAGTCTCCGGCCTGTGCCTCGCACCCCAAACAAATAGGCCTACATCACAACGTATGGATTGCCAACGTAATATAGAGCTCCGTATCACATCAGACATTATTATATAGAGATGCACTGAAGAACTCTTATGTTCGACCTGACATTTAATAAAAATCAAGTTGGATCGTTTGGGAGGATCATTTATTACATCCCAAATCGCTCCTTCACGATTTGAATCACAATGTAAGTCTATTTTCACTTCAGGCTTGGATACAAGTAGCCAGGCTTACACAAGTCGCGAAGTCACTGCAGAACCGAGCGGCAACTCTGACGCAATCGGCATGGGTACAGGTAACACCGCCAACATTGTCATCATTGCAACCCTGTGCGTCTTGGTGGTCGCCGGCCCCCTCGGAGTGCATTGCTGGCACCGTCGCAAGAATCGCCATTCTTTCAGGTGAAGCTTGATTTTGTATCTTAACGGCATGATCATTTGCATCTATTTTGAACACTGGTTTCTGGATTTTGAGGGGTGTTATTATCGGAAACGAACAAAATGCATGCAAAGCAAATGATCCGAAATATTCCTATAGTTATTGTCGTATAGTCGAATTGCCTCGCGTCCGAGTCGCGAGTCACTTGCTTCGAGTCTGAGTCCGAGTACTGAGTCACTTGCCTGGAGTCCGAGTCCGAGTCTCGAGTCACTTTGCCTCGAGTCCGAGTCTCGAGTCACTTGCCTCGAGTCTGAGTCTCGAGTCACTTTGCCTCGAGTCCGAGTCTCGAGTCACTTGCCTCGAGTCCGAGTCTCGAGTCACTTTGCCTCGAGTCCGAGTCTCGAGTCACTTTGCCTCGAGTCTGAGTCTCGAGTCACTTTGCCTCGAGTCCGAGTCTCGAGTCACTTGCCTCGAGTCCGAGTCTCGAGTCACTTTGCCTCGAGTCCGAGTCTCGAGTCACTTGCCTCGAGTCTGAGTCTCGAGTCACTTTGCCTCGAGTCCGAGTCTCGAGTCACTTGCCTCGAGTCCGAGTCTCGAGTCACTTTGCCTCGAGTCCGAGTCTCGAGTCACTTGCCTCGAGTCTGAGTCTCGAGTCACTTTGCCTCGAGTCCGAGTCTCGAGTCACTTTGCCTCGAGTCCGAGTCTCGAGTCACTTTGCCTCGAGTCCGAGTCTCGAGTCACTTTGCCTCGAGTCCGAGTCTCGAGTCACTTGCCTCGAGTCTGAGTCCCGAACTTGCCTAGAGTCCAAAACCGAGTCTCGAGTATTGTTCATTCACTGTTGTAGAAGCTGATATTTAGGTCTTCACGTGTGTGTACATGTATGTGCATAAGTACTTGAAGTTACTAAAAGTAACAGTGCAAAATAATTACGCAAGTGCAAGAGAAAATATGAGGAAGTTTGGAAATTGTGCTATTGAAAGACGAGGGGGGCTTGTATCCATCCACTATTATCTAAGAAGTTCCTGGTCTTGACGCGGAATCCATGTCCACTTTGACCTGATACTTTCCATCTCAACTGACAGTTTTCTTTGTTAAAAATTGACACTTTTGCCAAATAAGGTTTCGGGTCCAAAATAATGATACCTTTGCCAAGGTTGATCCACAGCATGTCATTATGATCTGGAACAGTGCCATTTTGACATTGATTTCAGGCTACAATAACCCGGATTTCGGGTCAATCTGACCTGCGCCGTTTTAGAGTGTGTCTGAATTTAATTTTATTTATTTTAAATGTAGAGTGCGTCTCATATTCTCACTCTGATTCTTGTTTTTAACAGCCCAGAACGAAGCGCTGGTGCAGACGAGGAAGCACCTAGATTGCGGCTTGAACGGATGAACTCAAACGACCAATAAGGAAACATTGTCACGTGTCACGTGTTCCAGTTGGCGGGAAAAAAATGCCCCGCCCTCCATTCAAGGTTCCGAATCTGATGATTAAAGACCGATTTCAAAAGGAAACGTTTCGCAACTGTGACGTCCAAACGTTCAATGTCTTTTTTGTCAGTGTTATGACAGCACAAACCTTACTAGAAAAACCCGATATTGAAAAGAATCGTGCACAATTTGCAAAGGAATGTCCATAATTAAACAGAACACATGGTCGAAAAATAATGGTAAGCCCTTTCCCCGACCCCAAATCTAATGACAAAATCTTGGGGTGCGTAACCAGTGTACTTGACCAAAATATTACAAAAGATATTCTTCCTCGTTTCAAAGGTTGATTTGTAGTGACCAGCTCCTACAGTTACTGAGAAAGTTGCCTTTTCTACCGCAAATGCCTTATCAAATTCAACAGCCCTCTATCGTAACATTTCCGAAAACATAACTCAAAAATAATAAGAATACTATAACTCAAAACGAACGGGCTTACATGTAAATACTGTAATTTTGTAGATAAGTGTACATATAAAATCAATTGAACGGGGAAAATAGAGGAAGGCCTAATGTCTAAATGTACAGGAAAAAAAAACGGTTTTGTTTTATTTATTCCGTCTCCAAATAGTCTTTGCAGGTTGAAGACAGCAAACAAAACTACTTTTACAGCTGTGTTATAATGTCAAATACAAAACACGGACATTATTAGGCCTATCCTAAATAAATTGCATTGGGTAAAAGAAAGACAAATCGAGTTTTGCCTAATTTCATTAATCAAATACAGCATTTGAATTGTTAATAATGGGAAAAATGTAAAAACAAAGAAATAGTATTTGACAATTAGTTTTTTGAGCCCTTGAGTATAGCGCACCACACCTCATGATTAGATTTCCACCTTATGATAGGAACGCTGCTAGCCTTGGTGATTTTAAATCAGTGCTGAAGAATCACCTTTTCATATAAGCTTTTTATCAATGTGCGCGTTGTTGATATTTTATTGATGCTATCTTTAGATAATTTATTGAATTTGCTGTCAATTTGTTTACACCTTTCTATCGATTAATGTGTGATCTCACTGTATTTGTTTTTAACATACTCGTGAAAGGGTCATGTCTTATCACTTTTATGAATATATTGTGAAATTTTTGAGCGTTTTACCGATTAATTTTGTGATATTGTAATTTACCAATGTTTTCAGTAATTTATCATAGTTCTTTTTGTTAGATTATTTATTCTCTAATTGTTATCTGCTCCGGTAAATTGAATGAAACTGGAGCAATATAAATCAATAAATTATTATAAAATATTACATTTGGGAAAACAATTAAAATATTATTACATTTACTAAAGGTTGAATATGACGTGCCCGACTCCAGAATGTTCAAGTCGGGCGAGAATACAATCCTTGCTTAATATTGACTTGGATTCCTAGCCGAACAATAGGTTAATCTATCGAAATGTTTTCTTTAGTTTTTATGTGAAACTAAGCTTGATTCTTGATTGATGTTTTCTTACATACACTTTTTATTAAAGTTCAAAAAGTTAATTTCTTCTGGATTCCAAAGAAGACATTCCTAATAGTTCTAGGGCCTTAGAGTGACAATCATAGCTTATTTTTTTATCAATTTTATGTGAGTCAATTCGTGGACAAATGTGTGTGTTATGATTTTTTTCTAACATACACTTTATATTAAAGTGCAACGAACGTTTACATTATTTCCCGCAGGAGTCAGCTTCAAAATCTGTTTCAGTTTTTAAAACTTCCGATCTTGTGTCGAGATCAATACTGTCTTTTATCTGGACATGGAAAAATATTTGCATATTTCGTATGACGGTGTAGATGTTCTTGTTAAGACTTGATTGACTCCTGCGGAAATATGTACAAGACAAATACTACCGTTATGCTGAACTGGTACACATTGTTGCGTGGGAGACCAAAGCGAGACAATCCACAATTATAAATATTTTCACCCTTGAAATTTCTCACTATTTCAAATATAAATTTTTTTTGGGGGGGGGGGGGGGGTGGGGCGGGGCGAGAGAAATATAAGGTTATTTGGGGAGTGGCAAAGACAGGGCTACATTCATGCCCCCTTTTTCCATTTGGGGTGTGCCGATATACATTGGCAGTATTACTTGAAGACAAAATACGAGATTCATGATCAAGAGATTTTTTTTTTTTTGGATATGAGGGTTGTCTTTTGTACGCAAATGACGGGCGCTTGTGTGTACGAGTGAAGCAGAAGGTGAAGGTAATACCCTGTGGGTACATTTATATTTTGTTGACATACTGAGTCAAGTAACAGAACAACGTACATACGTGTACATTCATTCACAATAAATATTAATGATAGGCAGATAGTTAGGGATCGAGCAGAAATTGTCATGACTGCACAATGACGATATCTTGCCTCCAGCTTAAAGCTAGAATGGTTTGCTTGTGTTTAGATGTGCATCAGTTATGTTAGCATCTCAAATGTAACTGCTCTGAGTTGGCAATCAGTTTCCAAGCTTTTTTGCTTGGTAAAAACTTGATATACATATTTTTTTATTAGTGTATTATTAAACTTAGGCCTATAGGATTTAAGTGTTGATATCGTTGTATTTAACCATGTTCTTCACAGTAATCTAATGATTTCTCTTTAGCATCGTGAGTTAAAAACACAGCTTAATTTGATCATTCGTTCATAACATATATGTTATAGTATGATATAAATCATTGTTATGTTATTTAACAGTTACTGTGATAGTTTATACGATTACTTGTGGCCTAAGCACAATTGGCCATTGCTGTATAAAATTGGTCGAATGCAGATGTGTCACCTAGCCTGAGTATTGTGTTTTGAATATTTATGTTTCCGTAGTTGATACAAATTTATACAAATACCTGCACGTATTTAAAAAGAAAACGTAGTCATGTCGGCTCCTCGATACTTGGTCAATAGACAGATTGCATTCGGTAGCCATCTTTGATGTGTGTTTTGTTGTGTTAATTCATGAATGCACAAGGAGACTTCATGCGCACCTCGCAGTGGCAATTTAATAACAAAAACATTATAAAGTATGACCTAAAAAAAAAAATCCATAATCGATTTTTTTGGAAGTGACCGTCCAGGCTCTGATTTCCAACTGCAAATCTTTAAAATCCTTTCCAAAATAAAATCTGTTAAAACATGATTTATCTTGACCCCTCCTTCAAAATCTGCGCCGTTGAAGTCACATGATCACCGATCACCATTCTCGTCCCTTGGGGTTACTTTATTTTCGACGCCATATTTTCAATGGGGAGCGCCAATAAATCCTAAAATCATTCACACTATATTAACTACAAATGCACCCTTGTCACGACTATTTCTTTAGGGGGAGACCGTTCGCATGTACATCACAATCCTTCTTTTTGCTAATGCAGTTTTTTTTACGGAATAATTTTTTTCTTTTGGAGGGGGCTAGACAATTGGGGGGGGGGGGGGGGGGGGCTAAAGCCCCCCACCCTCGTAGAACCGCGCCTGGTCCTCCCATCTTAAAAAAAGGACCATTTTTCCCCTCGAAATTGATGGTACTCCATCTGGAAATGAAGACTATATTCCTTCATATCTGTTTTTTTTTATCAATTGAAAATTTCCATTCATGATGATTTTTTTTGCATTAGGGGCCTATATTTAAATAGACCTAAAAGGAGAAAATAAGTTTGCGGAGAAATGCACACTGAGTACTGCGACACAAGGCAGCGCACGGTACGGAGCAACAGCCAGCGATATAAAAATGACACTTTTCACCTCCATATCATCACGCCATGGGAAATTACCGAGAACGGGGTCAACGGACATTTGGGGCGTATTCGGAACCCTGCTGTTCTCGTGTTCATTCGATTACGCCTTGGCATGGGAGGCATCGCGCAAGGCCTTCCCCCTATTTTTGGTTACTCACCCAAAAAGCACCTCAAATTTCACAAGCTAACCTGGAGACTTTATCCTCCGAGTTTCCAGCTTCAAGCCCCCAATGCGGAACTTGACAAGCCCGTGGAGTCGTCATGCATGGGGCGCGAAAAAAACAATGACATTTGGACTATTGAAGTCTTGCAATTGGGCCAGAAAACCAGTCTGTATGTACGGGTCACTGCAACATTTCGACGCAGACATAGTTCATGTTGTGTCGTCGTCAACCTCGTTGACAAACGGACTTGAACTTTGCTGTAGGCCCACATAACTTGTCATAACTTTCGTTTTACAGAACTGAAGTGGATTTCGCAACTGCATTCCTTTGAATGCTCATTTTGTGCTGAACTGAACTGAACTTAAATGGACACTGTAGAATTGTTGTGAAGTCAGAATTTTGTCGAATTATCCCAGCGACGTTTTTGGTAAATACTGAAGTCAAGCATTTTGAGTTCGTCGGGGTAAGTCCAACTTTAAATAAGGAAATATTGAGGTGAGTGAAAATTTATCTTCTCCTCCGGTCACACAGGAGTAAAAAGCGGAAAAGCGTCTCAATCTGCTGCATTTTGAGCAATATGGCACCTGATATTTCTGCCTGCATTTTAAAGCTCACTTCGAAGTAAAGGGGGGGGGGGGCAGAAAAATTCCTCTCTTTGACTTTGGTCTTATTTAGCAAAATATATTGCATTTTATACATGAGGTTGTATTTTGCACTATTTAATATTGTGCGATGAAACTCTGCAATTCTTCTCTTTAAGTATCTCATTTTTAGTATACCTAGAAAAAAGTATTAGAATAAGCAGGAACATGTGTGTTTGTTGCTAACAAATAGCGTCCATTTTGAGTTGGCCATACACTGAGTTCGTCTTTTGCATTGCTGAATTGTATGAAATGCCATTCCCGTACATAGGCGATAGCTCTTTTGATTTAGATTAATTTGCATGTGAATACCTGCCAATTTGTTCCACATAACACGTACATGCCTTTTGAAATTTGGTGCATGGCGCACTTTCACGCATTCATGCTCCAAAAGCGAAATCGAGAGCCAGCGGAGCGAGTCCAGTCTGCACGTGAGCCGCTCGTGGCCGGCGCACGCAGTGTGGGCGTGTTCAAATAGACTCGGATGATTCTTATTGGACGAAAAGTTGAAAGGCCGCGCGCGCGGTATGCGGCCAGGTGCACCGTCTTTGCTAAACTTTCAAAGACATTCCATCGATGCAGGGGCTCAAGTTTTAGGGGTTTACTCAAAAGTTGGAGTACACATGTTTGGATTTTCGTTAAGAATGGAGGTTTCTTGGAATGTGGTTTGTCTTATTGTTATTGTATTAAGATTACTGCTTTAAAACTTACCAGAATAAATAGTTTTGAGCTTTCGTTTAATTATTTAAAGATGGAATAAATGAAAAACCTTAACACCATGAATTCGAGGAGTTAACAACGGAAACTTATGATCATACGTGTGAAAAATTTCAAATTCATACGATTTATGATGCGCGCGGGGGAACAATAGAACCTTTCAATGCAATTTTCTTGAAAATGATTTTTGCGTCAGAAAGCTCATATGCCCTTCTGCCGGGCACCCGATCAGAAAAGTTCTTTTTAATATCACGTTCCATAATGTGCCATCGGCGTTGCATTTTTCAGCTCTGGCAGGGATCATTTTGATCAATTTCATGCAAGACTTTCATGCAAGACTTCTTGCAACACGGCCAATTGTGCACTCATACTTGTTAGGGTGAAATTGGTAATCTGGGCATTTTTGTTTCAATCTTTCGATACTCTAAGGCTGCCACATTGGGTCAAACTGCGCTGATACCGGGGCGGTAAAAAGAGTGGAATACGATCAGTGATGTGTCACTACAAGTGTTTTATTAAAATGAGTAAAATAAAAATCTACAATTAATAGCCTGTGTAAATCGTGAAAATAAGACTGAAATAACACAGCAAGACTGCAAGCTATATCTGAATGCAATTTACAGTTACAACGCCAAGAACTACTACGACCAAAAGCCACAGAAGGGGAAAAATGCCATGAGACCAAAAATGCACACTCAAAAATTCCTGGGTCAGATTCAACCCAGAATATACGGGTCAGAAATGACCTGATACTCTTCCAGTTCAAGAAAACGTGTCAAATGGATCTCTTCTGAGACAAAATAATTTGGTGTCGAAAGGACACCTTCCCGTGTCAAATGCATGGCCCAGAAAAGTGACTGCGAGAAGTAAGAAAAAAGTATCGGGTCAAGTCTGACCGGGATCCGGATAGAATGTGACCCGGGACTTTAAACAGATATAAACTGCAAGATGAAGGTCATTATCATTGTAAATACACTGTAAACAAGAAAAATTGCGAATGTAGTTATCCAACAAGAAAAGTAGCGTCCACGAATAATGGCTCGCACATCACAAGATAAGAGAAATGATGGCAGCTATATTTTCACTATCACTGTCCTGAGTATATCAATAATACCTCCACCACCGCCAATAATAGTACTACTATAATACCATACGAAAAGTAGCGTATACTTCCACCAAACTATAGCCATAAAATAAAACATAATGCTACACGAATAACTAGTCGTTCTTAAATCAAAACAAAAGTCACAAAAATATAACTACTGCATGAATAACTTGTTATACTCTGTGCGAATAAACAACTACTTGGCTAAAAGTTTGATTCCGAAATAACCGTCATGGCAACATAATACCAACGTGCTCAGATTACCACAGAGATTAACAGAAATATCCTATGCTGAAATATCCTATACACCCACAAACGACTGTGTTTTGGTCCAAAGTGTGACATTTCTCCCGTCCTTGTTATCTCTGAACTTGTTTATTTGCCATTTAAGTAACGTTAACAATTAAGCCTAAACGATTTTTAAAAAATAGATAGCTTGCTATTCATAATCACTTTCGGCGGACAACTGCATTAAGGAGTGCATCAGAATGATAAAACCACAGATGTCAGATGTAACAGGCAGGGAAAGAGTGGACCCTAAAATCCACTTGCGATTCCATTAGTTGGCTATGATTGTTCAATTTCTTTTGTGTGTGTGTGTGTATTTCGTTTTAACACCTGTAATATTTCCCTTTGCCATGTAAATAAAAAATAGAAGCAATTTCCTCGTACGATACATGCCAATTTCATATTGCCTCTTCTTTTTGCTTATACACGATTACGGTGCTAAGCTTAACTACTGATGACGTGTTACCCTCATGAAAAATCAAGTGTTAAACTCAAATCAGTCAAATCAGCTGAAGGCTCCTATAGATTATGTTATCATATATGATAATTACAATGTAATAGGATCCATAAAAGTTAAACTATTGTCTGGCACTATGACATAATGGTGTATAACAATATAACACTGAGAAAGCCTAAGCGACTATCTAAAAACACACAAAGATATGCCATGCATATTTTCTATCCCATTTCAGATTTTTTTTAAAAGTGGATATAGTTTATTTACTTTTCTTTGGTGTAAAATAAAGTTTGTGCAATGATAATACCGGAAAAGTGTTAACGAAGGGGAGGAATCCTTTGGAATGTTTATTTGGAAAAAAATGTTTAAATATATGTGGCTCGCTCCATTTAATATTAAATAACTTAGGAATACTTTACATCCTGAATAGTAACAGTGAAAATTTCACTTAATTTGCATACTCCAATCACAAGATATCTCTATTTTAATTGTAATATCACAACATTCAGCTGTCCACTGATCATTTACCAATACGCATTGATGAAGACCTTTTAAATACAACAAACCATTCTTACCTCCATGAATGAATGAAAACTTGGATAGAATAACAGACAAAATCGCCGTCATTATTTCAGAAAAATACTTGATACGTTCCTCATAATATAAAATACAAAATCAGAGAGTAAAAATAAGGTTTCAGTCTTGACTCAAGTCATTAAAAATCTCATTTGTATTTGAATGAAATGTGTGTAAATCTCTGGTTTTACTCAGCTCAATAGCTCCAATGCATTTAGCATTCTATGGACAGCCGTAAACATGGGTTCTTTTAGTAAAACATGCGTGACTACTAATAGCATGGATCAATTTCAGTTTAAGCTACAGTCCATCATTTGCAGCTATCCAATAAGCAACTGACAAAAATATTGTTGAACAGCATACTCGGTTTAAAGATAGTAATGGGACTAAACTCCCTGTGAAATTATTCATTCTGACAAGCTGCCATTTTGAAGAAAACAATGAAAGAAGGCCATTTCCAACGGTATTTCCAACGGTGCCTCTAACGATGCATCATTGGAAATTTCCGTAAGAAGTTCGTTTTTAATTCGGCGAAGCACGTGCAAGCGTTGACACGACGATTCGTCGGTTCAGTGCGCGACATTGCATAGCTGCAATCGGCTGAATGAGAACTCTGAATTCCGGCGCAATTTAAAACATGACTTGGCAACTTTTGATTTGAATTCGAGATCCTAAAATATTGTTTTTCTCGGAATACACAGTATTCACAGAGCTAAAACTGCAGGTTAGTTTTTAAGCACCTTTCTTTAGATTTTGAGCACTTTTGTTGCTTCAAACGAACAAAATGCACAAATGACAAATGGTACTAGACTGTACCTAAGTGTTCACATGACTGGAAGAACATGCTTCATTGGTGTGTCAAATTTAATTGGTTTTTTTTTTTTTTTAGGGAAACAAATTGTTAATCCAGGCTACCTTCTTTTTGACTCAACCTACAGCACGTTTCATACATTCAATGCTTGCCCGGGATAATGACTCCACATCCAGACTTACGTCAGCAATTTCTCCAATTTTAATGTCTTCATGTTGATACGCACGCTGAAACGGAGAACAAAAAAGGTTGACTTGATTGATGTGCCAAGCAGTAAGAAAGCTACTCATTATATAAGTCTTTTCTTTGAAAGAGCTAGAACCAGATGTTGTGTTACATTGTCACAACAAGGTTTACAAGCGCCCTCTTTTGCATCAATAAATTTTGGATGTTCAATTAACATTTGTCCATGTTTGCTTTTCAGATTCGTAAAAATAATCGTTTTTCAGGTGGGTGTTCAGGCTTTATAATTCATGATAACTTTTTTAAGGTAGAGTATATCATCTGCAGCTATCCAAAATGTAATGGACAAAATTATTGTTGAATAGCTTACTTGGTTTAAAGATAGTAACGGCACTGAACTCCCTGTGAAATTATTACTTGTGGCATGCTGTCACTTTGAAGGAAAAAAAGAAAGCAATTTCCAAAGATGCATCATGTGACGCATTTTTGAAACTTTCCGTAAGTAGTTGTTTGTAATGGGGCAAAGCTGAGAGTGGATGGGCGCAAGCCTTGACACGACGCACAAGTTGCTATTATTCGTCGGTTTAGTGCGTGACATCACGTAGCTGCAATCGGCTGGATGAGAACGCCTCCTGGACGCTGGTTTCGGGCGCAGTTCAAAATATGACTCGGCAACTTATGAATTGAAATCGAGATCCTAGAATACTGTTTCTCAAAATACAAAGCATTCAATGAGCTAAAACTTCATCAGGTTAGTCGTAAAGCACCTGTCTTTAGATTTTGAGCACTTTTGTAGCTTCAAACGAATAAAACAAAACCCAAATGACAAATGATCTATCCTACCTTTAATGAAAACAAGATACTATTAACACTTACTATGATTTGTTTACAAGGGGGAGGGTTGGTTCTCATACTCTCTGTTTTCTAGTGCCAATGCCTCGACTCCGTCTCCCCGACTATGTGAACAAGCAAATTAAAACTTTATTGGTTTAAGTCGCCACCACTATCAAACCTTTTTGCGCCAACGCTGCTAGCCTCAAACAGGCACACAATGTTTTTTTTTAACACACAGCAAAATAGTCGAGTCTTCAATCAGGCCAACTGGCAGAATGTACATAGGGCCAATTTTGTCAACATTTTGTATTAATGACTGATTCTTGGAAATGTCGTTGAAATATTATTGCGATACTGGAAATCATTATTGACTTGCATTTGTTTCACCGATTTTACAGAAACCATTGACACTGTTGCATACATTCCTGATCCTTCCCTCGTTTTAACACACCCTGTTTTTGTCCTTACCAGTTTCCAGCCCTTGTGTTTCCATTGGTTCTCCTCACCCCCAGTGGCGTAACTACTGCAATCAATGTATACGCTACCTATGGTGCCCCCTTAAAAAATTGGTGCAGTGCCCCCTAGAAGCTTCACCCTAGTTCCACTGCTGCTGCCCCCTCGAATTTCTTTAGAACCAGCTTGGTTAGGGGGTATTTGTAGACTATTCTGTAACATAGTGTTAATATTTGTCGGATTTGAACAGCGCCCCCAATGAAAGTATGGTACGAGCCCCCACCCCAACCCCACCAATAGATTTTCGGAGGCCAAGTGTCCAGAGAAAAAAAACTCTGTCTACATTTCAGAATTGTTGGCTGATGACCCCACCCTCCCTGCAAACATTCCTGGATCCGCCTGTGATATGAGCTCCGATATGGAGCCAGGTTGAGACGAGATCCAATAAGCTCCCATAGGAAAGCACACATGTAAACAACGTGAATGTGTGGCGTCAGTATGTTTCAGGTCTATGACTGTTACCTGTTATCTTCCTGAAACTCAGAGACACTGTTCTTGCCAGTCTTTTTCTTGTAAACGAAGACGATGACACCAATGACGATGATCAGTAAGGCCCCTCCACCGAGACCTACTGACAGCCCGACAATCAGGGGGATGTTGGGCCCCTCTTCCTCGAGAGGTTCGCACCTCGGCCCTCCTGTGTTTGCCGGACAGCTACTGCAAATTCGGGAGAGTCCAAGGAAGAATGAATATTTAGTGTCCACAGTGGCCAGAGGCGGCCAGAGCTGCACCCAATTTCACTAAACGCTGCGACGCGTCGCAACTCGAGTTACGACGTGTAACACGTCGCAACTCGCGATGTGTCGTACGATCCATTTCACGAAACATGCAATGAGTTGAATGCGTCTTAAGTTCCTTGACAACGGCTTAAAACACGTTGCAAGTTACGACGTGTCTAGTAATCATCGCAAACTAAGAAGAGTCTTTTTCTTAGCCAGTTTTATGCCATAAACATTACATCAACGAGATTATAATACCAAGGCAATGTGTGTAAAGTTGTAAATAGAAAATTCATTGAATAATTATAAATTAGCTTGTTGAATATTGCAGTTGAAATTTCAAAGTAGCTATGCTGTCCACTGAGAGCTTGTTTTCCTTTAAAATTGCATCACATGTCCGCCCTTTTATTTTACGTTTTAACAAATTTTGGGCAGAGATCCGACAACTCTTTGTTGAATATCAGATGACTATTTACTGTACGCTGACTAAATACATAAAACAGTCACCGATTTCTGCTACAAATACACCTAAAACGTGTCACACTTACGACTTGTTTTGTGAAATGGATTGCAGGACGCTGCGACACATCGTAGGGAAACGAAGAGTTTGATGAAATCGGGTGCTGGTCAGAAGTCAAACACTTATTAACCATTTTGAGATATTGCGGACAAAATAGTTGGCGATGTTTAGTATGGGTGAATTTGGGTAAATACAAACAAAGTTAGGCCTGCCCAAACCTAATAAAAAATCAACAGGCTAATTTTCCATAATTACCAAAGATACAAGTTCTCTCTAATGAAACCATGAAGAAAAATAGGCACAGTAAAAGTAACAGAAAAAAAACAACTTCCGATTCTGTAAGAAACATCGTTTTTTTTTTTTTTTTATCCTTTTGTACCTTTTGGTAAGCCAAACAAGCGGCCAACATACGGATTTTGGCCTCATTTGCTTGATATTAGTTTGTTAAGCCCCAGTCACACATTCACGGTTTGGAGCTACGGATATCCACGGTTTTATATTCATGATTAACCATTGGTGGGAGTGCCGTATTCATCCTTAGTACGTCCATTATTATCCATCATCTTCCTTCGGTATTTGTGGAGGCGCTACGGTTCCAAACTTCCGTGGTGAATCATCATGAAAATCAATCCGTAGTACAACTGTAAGACATCCGTAGGACAACCGTACTGATTTGTAGTGTTATTCGCGGCTAATCTTACATATTCTTGGAGATTCGTAGCTCATTCGTGGTAGAAATCTCTACGAATTCGCTATGAATGTCCTACGGATATGCCCGGGTATGCTGGGGTTATGCTAAGGTTGTACAGTAAACTCCGGCTAAACCGACATCGTACAACTCGCTCAAGTCGGCCGTCTGACTAAAGTCCCGATTGTCGGTAATGCATTTCCATTGAATTTTTATTTCAAAGGTGTTTTTTTTCGCCATTTCACTTAAGTCGTCATGTTACTCTCGGTCCCCTTTCCATAAAAAGCATTACGAAATCCTTTGTGTAAGTCAGCATTCAACAAATCACACATTGGCATCGACTTCCTGTACTGCGGTTGGCAAAGTGTCAAGTGAAAAGTGGTTGCACACGGCCCGTGGTCGCTGCAAGCATCGGTGTCGGATTCAACTCAAGCATAAAGGAGATAATCCAGGGCAAATCGAAGCCAATTAGTGCAATGAATCATGTGTGCAAAAGACCATTCATGTAAGTCGGCAAAATGACGACTTACAGCAGATATCGGCATTCGCGTAAGTCGTCACACATTCTCGGGTCCCGAGAGTGCCGGTTTAGCCGGAGTTTACTGTTTTACGAATATGTATGTTTTATTCGTAGGAGAACCTGGGTCATCCGTCACCCAATCGCAGACAACCGTGGCGTTACCGTCATTATTCTAAGTAATTCCTTTGATATTCTTCAACAAATGGTCCATATTCTTGACAAACCGTAGTGTATCCATAGAGGAACAGTAGTGCATTCAGCATTCTTAGAAAGTCGATTTCTCCACGAATCTCGATGGTTCATTGTTATCGATTGATTCGTGGTAAACCGTGGATATTCGTAGCCCCAACCGTGAATGTGAGACTGGGGCTTTACCCGCACAGTGGATCTTTGTCGAGGGCCTGGGAGCAGACACCACCGTTACAGTATTTAGGATCAGAGATGCAGCGTGACACACACGCAAGGATGCAGTGGTCATCAGATTTGTCCTCATACGGCTCACGATTGCCTGTGCACGTGATGGAATCCTTGTCTGCATTTGCGCAAACGTCGGTGATATCTGTGATGAAAAGCAAAATGCTCAAGCAAATGAAAGGAATGAAGTAATCAAGTAAAGAATGGCGTGAGCCAAATGAAACCGAAACTGACCCGACCCGAAACCGACTTCGGGTCGGGTTGGGTCAGTTTGTCCATCATTTAAGTCAGGTCGGGTCGGTTTCGCATTTGCGATTTTTGAGTCGGGTCGGTTAAGCCATCTTGTGAAAAAAACCCGCAAATAAACCAAAATTCACCGAACTAAACCAAAACGTTGACAACTTAAGCGATGCAATATTATTGCAGAGTTACTGTGCCCGGTACAACCAACGTCAACCCACCGCGCGAATGTGCATGTGGTTCGCGATCTATAACGTACAGTCTATAACGTGTAGGCCCACCAATAAGTCACATCCTGATTCTTTACCGTACCGTACGGTGTGATTCTGTTAAGAGACGACGACTTTCACTCGGTGTTGGCAAGTTCAGGCGTAAAAAGCGGACACAGTTTCCCAAATGAGATATTCAGGGGTTTTTCTCGGGTCGGTTCAGGTTGGTTTTGCTTAAATTTTAGTCGGCTCGGGTTAGGTCGGATAAGGGGAGCTTGGATCAGTTTCTGTACGGATTTGGTTTCTATCTCTAATGTTCCGGGTCGATTTGGCCTGGTCAACCCGACCCGATGCACATTATTTTACATTCCCTGCCAAATGCACCGGTTGTCCCTCGAGCATCTTTCTGGTTTTACTGAACACTTTGTCCTGTTTACATTGATTATAGGTGTCTTCAGGCTTCCGTGTTTCACTGGCGTCAGTTCTTACTACGATCAACCTAGATTCACTCTACCTTTTGGATCAGAACAATCAGCGCAATTCGTCACCAGTTCCAAGGTCCCAATCGCGCCTGCCTGGAGCGCGTCCCCCAGGGTCGATTTCCTGAGAAACTCGGTGGGTCCTATTCCCCGGACTTCTACATAATCGTAGTTGTAGGTCACGGTGTGTGGAATGACAACGCTACCTTTCCTGCAATTCAGGAAACATGACATTCCATTTTTTTTTGTTGTATCATTTACGATTTACTTAATGCACACTGTGAATTATTGATTAAAAATACGCTTACTTGATTGCCGTCTGATCCACCGTAACGGCTTTGAAACTCCTGGGAGAAACTTTCCTGTACAATGACTCCACCTGGATAAACGACCAAAGAATAGAATCAGGTGTATCCACGCTCATGTGAGCAATGGCATCTGTACATGGAAATATACATTTCAATGTTGAACAACTTTGAGCAAATATCACTAAGTTTGGGTAAGACAACAATAATGACGGAGAAAAAATTGAAGCAGTGAACCAGTGGGTCTGATGGCACTTTAAAACCCACTTGTGTCATTTGTAAATTTGTGTACCGATTTACTGAACAATAAATGCACAAACTGTGATGCAACGCCAAATGATCTGATTAGCAGGTAGGCTAACAACTGGATAGATAAAAGGTCCCTCTAGAGAAATCTTGCAGCAAGTACAAACAATTATCGAAGTAAAAACCAATATTCCTTGGAACTTCCGGTTATCGCAACTTGGCTGAACACAAACTTAGTTTTTTTGGTGCAGAAATTAAAAAAAGAAGACGTTGATCCCCATTTCATTTATAGGCTTTATTTTTTTTTAGGTTGCTGGAAGTTCTCTGTTTTGCTGAAAATTCTCAACTATTTTGTCAGTCTTAAGAGCTAAAGTGAAATCGTAACTCATCAATAGGACACAACCACCTCTGACTATTTTCTATGAAAGAATTTCATACAGAGGAAATGTAAATTCAATAGTGAGTTTTCTGCCTTGCACAACTGTCATTAAGGCACGGACAGCCAGTAAATGTGGTTCATATCAAGTCCAACTTACGTCATTTTAAGTACAAATTGATATGATTACTTACAGATGTCTTAAGCGTGTTCACAAGCCCCAAACACTGGAAAGACATCTTATCACTCTCTGGATCGCAGGCATATGATGAGGAGGTTGAAATGGCTAGCACTACGGAGAATTTCTTCTCCAAGTCAGTTGATCCTGTTGGTATATTTTAGGTCAGTGTGGAAGGTCAGCCACAGTTTTACAGACTCACAAATTCCTTTAAATTTGTTTTTAAATACTACTTTAATGATTCAACAACACTTAACTTAAATAGTGCCACAGCTGAATGGAGGAACTTCTCCCAGATCTTTTGTTTATTTGCAGGAATGCAGGACACACAGAGTTTTTTATTATTCCTAGGATGTGATAGGGCATATGGAGAACTTTGCCACCCATATGTTCAGAAAATCAAAGCCCTGCATGCTCTGCGGTCACCCACAACGGTGCATTGACCCAGCGACCTGCATATAGCCCCACTGCGTAGACCAGACAATACATAAACAGCAGGTCGATCCTCAGAACAAAAGCGATGTCTGATTTGACAAGAAAAGTGCCCCTTGTTCTTCTCAACCAATCTAAACGGTTGTTACATGAATGGAAAGCTTATTGTGTTATCTTTCAGAAACCGTGCGAGGTAATTGTATGCGACCGGGTTCACACGTGTGCTGTTCGAAGAAGTAAACCCGCACCCTCAAAAATCGGGGAAATGTGCCGTGACCTCCATAGGAAACGCGAAATGTTCACTGAGTTACCCGTTTTTCAATGAAAAAGTGCACATAATTATTCGCCTTTGGTCATGAAGAAATTATATTCATGTGAAAGAGGAAAATCTGTATTTTATGATGCGAGGAAGTAAGTTAAACCAACACACCTTCCGCATATTAACGAAAATTTGTTCAGAGCGCCTAGACATGAGCCAGTCTTCCCACGTAAACAGAGCTGCACTAGTGGCGAGTGAGCAAATGCGCCCTAGTTCTCCATATGTTTTCAGTCAAAGATTGGGCCCAAGTTTTGTCTTGATATGGGACCAACAAAGAGTTTAGAATTGGTTGGACCATATAAAAATTAGTCTTCCCCTTGCCTGCTGGGGGGAGGGGGGGGGTACCACATCACCTGCTTAGATCAACTCGTGAACGATCAACCCATGAACACCCACACATGTACTAGCACATTTGTTTATAGTGTAAATCAAGCATTTTCTTTTGTTCCTCTTCCCATTTCCTTTGTTTGTACTCTAACTTTTTTGCAACAGCTCTCATTGGTTTTGTACACATTTTCTAATCGAGGTCGTCCTCGATTTGGTTCCTGTCCTCGATTCACCGATGATGTTTGCACGTGTGGGTACTCGATTTAAACCATAAACAAACGCATACACATTTGTTTATGGTGTAAATTGAGGATTTTCTATTGTTCCTCTTCCCTTTTCCTTTGCTCAATACATTTGTTTGTACTGTGTTTAAACTTTTTTCCAACAGCTCTCATTGGTTTTGTACACGTTTTCCAACCGAGGAGTCTTCGATTTGGTTCCTGTCCTCACTTCATGGATGATGTTGCACATGTGCGTCCTCAATTTACACCATAAACAAACGCTCACACCCATCTCCACTTTATGTAATAGTGGTGACGTCATCAAAAATGGCCCTTTCCTTGTTGTGAAACATTGTTGAAAAAAACAATCATTTTAAAAACTTTTACCTGTTATATTAGGGTACTCCGGTGCAATGTAAGCTGAGAATATAACCACACACAAATGTGATATTCTGTTAACAAGGCAGCTGGCAATAAAAGTGGGAGTGTTTTTCAGATTCATTAATTCATTTATTAATGATAATTAATTCATTTTTGTGAAAACGGGGTTAAGACCATTCAGTAAGTCAATGATACCCAGTCCAAGTCACAAGTGATGGGGAGTCGGGGAGTCAGTCAGTCGGGGAGTCAGGAACAAAAATAACAGCGTTGCTGTTGAAACCCCTCAGCCAGAGTCAAGTTATCATCCGGAAACCATTAACCTTTAACTCAACGTGGTGACCTTGACCTTTGGCCTTTGACCCCAGAACCAGTCCCAACATGCCTGTACCAATGGGAAACCCCCTACCGAAGTTAGACACCAACATTTCATTTCTAACTCAAGTTATCATTGGGAACCATTTACATTGAACTCACCACGGTGACCTTGACCTTTGACCTTTTGACCCCGAAACCAATCCCAACTTGCCTTCTCCCAAGGGGAACCCTCTTCCAAAGTTAGACACCAAAATCGCATTTCTAACTCAAGTTATCATCCGGAAACCATTTACCTTTAACTCACAATGGTGACCTTGACCTTTGACCTTTTGACCCCAAAACCAATCCCAACTTGCCTACTCCCAAGGGCAACCCTCTACCAAAGTTAGACACCAAAATCTCATTTCTAACTCAAGTTATCATCCGGAAACCATTTACATTTAACTCACCACGGTGACCTTGACCTTTGACCTTTTGACCCCAAAACCAATCCAAACTTGCCTACTCCCAAGGGCAACCCCCTACCAAAGTTAGACACCAAAATCTCATTTCTTACTCAAGTTATCATCCGGAAACCATTTACCTTTAACTCACCATGCTGACCTTGACCTTTGACCTTTTGACCCGGAACCCAATCCCAACTTGCCTTCTCCCAAGGGGAACCCTATTCCAAAGTTAGACACCAAAATCGCATTTCTAACTCAAGTTATCATCCGGAAACCATTTACCTTTAACTCACAATGGTGACCTTGACCTTTGACCTTTTGACCCCAAAACCAATCCCAACTTGCCTACTCCCAAGGGCAACCCTCTACCAAAGTTAGACACCAAAATCTCATTTCTAACTCAAGTTATCATCCTGAAACCATTTACATTTAACTCACCACGGTGACCTTGACCTTTGACCTTTTGACCCCAAAACCAATCCCAACTTGCCTACTCCCAAGGGCAACCCCCTATCAAAGTTAGACACCAAAATCTCATTTCTAACTCAAGTTATCATCCGGAAACCATTTACCTTTATCTCACCATGCTGACCTTGACCTTTGACCTTTTGACCCCAAAACCAATCCCAACTTGCCTTCTCTCAAGGGCAACCCTCTTCCAAAGTTAGACACCAAAATCTCATTTCTAACTCAAGTTATCATCCGGAAACCATTTACATTTAACTCACCACGGTGACCTTGACCTTTGACCTTTTGACCTCAAAACCAATCCCAACTTGCCTACTCCCAAGGGCAACCCCCTACCGAAGTTACAACCCCAAACAACATTTCTAACTCAAGTTATCATCCGGAAACTAAGCTGCCCGGACGGACGGACGGACAGACGCACTTACATCCGGACGGACGGACGCCCTAGGCGATGACAATACCCCTCGAGCCTCTCGGCTGAGGGGTAAAAAGGACACGAGGCTGGCCCTCCCTGGGATCACTAAAAACTGCAAAATGCAGGACAGCCCTAATATTATATTCTGTTCGTAAGTAGACATATAGTTCTGGTTAAAACATCATTGTGTCTTACGTTCGCAACTGTACACTCCATCCCCATAGAAGCCTTCTTTGCATTTACATTTGAAGAAATCCGGTGGTGGCAGATTATTGCAATCGGCGTCGGCGTGACAGGGTTTATCGACCTTACATTCATCTATGTCTGTCAACAAAATAACACACCAACATAAAAACATTATTCCATTCCACAGTGTTGTAGGACTGAAGTCCAGGACTCGGACTCCAGTCGGACTCGAGTCACAGTTTTCGTGACTCGGACTCGAGTCACAATGGCAAATGACTCGGACTCGGACTCGACCATGATGACTCGGACTCGAGCTTGGTGACTCGAATAACATATTTTTATTAAAAAGAAAAAACATAACGTATTTGTGGGACGAACGTAGCATTCCTTTTTACTCCATGGACAAAACACGGCGCCGCGGAAAATTGTATCCAGGGGCCGCGCACGGGGTAGGGATGGGAAAGGATTATTGAGGAATAATATTTGGGTGGTAAAACATGGAGGGAAGGAGGAGGGGTTTTTTTTAGGGATGGGAATGAAAATGAAAACACATTTTGGGTCTAAACAACATGTACATCACACACAGGGTAAATTATATACACTGAGATTTACTTAATAGACAATGGATGATTGAAAAAAAAAATTAAAAAAAACATTTGATTAGTTTGTTGAACAACTACGAACAAGTGGCTTAAGACTCGACTCATGGCTTGTGACTTGCGACTCAGACTCGAGGCTTGTGACTCGAGACTCGGACTCGAGGCTTGTGACTCGAGACTCGGACCCGGACTCAAGGCTTGTGACTCGAGACTTGGACTCCAGGCTTGTGACTCGAGACTCGAGGCTTGTGACTCGAGACTCGGACTCGGACTCGAGGCTTGTGACTCGAGACTCAGACTCGAGGCTTGTGACTCGAGACTCGGACTCAGACTCAACATTGGTGACTCGACTACAACACTGCTGTTCTATTGATGTTTACCGTTGTGTGATTTAGTCCAGGTGCAGCGAATGTAAAAATTGCTGGAAAAGAAAATGTGTTATGTACTGTGCTCTCATCTCGTTCTACAAAATCGCCATCTTGGAACTAATGCAAAACTTTGAGAGTTTGCGTCACTATATCGGTCGCTTAGCTATAATATACCTGTAGGAATGTATACATGTATTTGCCCTTGTTTACCATTGAAAAAAAAATGCTCAAATTGAAGCGTCATTTAATGCCTCTTCAACAGGCTTAATGTCTGTATACTAATACTCACCTTTACATGGATTGCCGGAGAATCCCTCGTTGCATGTGCATACTGACTCGCCGTCCGGGTTAACTGTGCAGACTGAGTTTTCTCCACAGTTTTCTTGGCATGCTGCACCTGAGATTTAAATCAAAGAACCCATATATCATTAACTAAAATTCACTGATTTGGTGTTTCACTTCATTCCCTGAGAGGGAGGGGGGGGGGGGGGGAGGGGGGGAGAGACCGTTTCCATGTACGTCACATTCTTACATTTTTCTAGTGCTTTTTTTTATGGAATTTTGTTTGGGGGGGGGAGGGAGGCCCCCCCCCCCCTCCCCATAGCCCCCCCCATAAAACCGCCACTGCAAGAGCTTAAAATGTCTTCAAGCACTGGCCTGTCGTTGGAAAAGAATTCTTAATTCAATTTTGGTCTTAAAACGTCTCTACTTGTACTTAAAGCCACATAGGATCATTTGCAATGACCCAGATAAATACCTAACGATTTAATGACAGAACACTTGCTGAAAGTGAAGATAGGACTGGTATATCTACGCACATTAAACTAACTGAATCCAATTAGAGACCCAAAAATGTATTCATGTTTCCTTTGTTTTTTCAGAATATATTATATCCACTGAGCTGAAACTTCCAACATGATCAGAGTTATTTTGAGCAATGTTGTTGCTTCAAACGAAGACCAAGTGATCGTATGTACCTTTACAACATTTGCAGCTAGCCAAAAAGTAACTGACCGAATTACTGTTGAAAAGCTTACTTGGTTTAAAACTCCCTATGAAATTATTCCATCTGGTATGTTGTAATTTTGAAGAAAGCAATAAAAGGTCATTTCCAAAAACATTTCCGTTAGTCGTACGTTTTGAATGTGGCAAAGCCGTAAATGGGTGCATGCAAGCCTTGACACGACACACACGCGCGCGCGGTTGCTATAATTCGTTGGTTCAGTGCGTGATATCACGTAGCTGCAATCGGCCGAATGAGAACGTGTCTTGGGCGCTGATTTTGGGCGCAATTCAAAACGTGAATTCAAATTTGGCAACTTTAGAATTGAAATGGAGATCCTAGAATATTGTTTTCTTGGAATACACAGCATTCGACGAGCTAAAACCTCATCAGGTTAGTTATTAAGCATCCCTCTTTAGATTTTGAGCACTTTTGTTGCTTCACACGAACATAATGCACAAATTACAAATGATGTATTCTACCTTAAACTCTTGATTATTCTTTCGCTTGACTCACTTATTTGTAAAAATTGTTCACTTGTTTTGTAGCGCTTCTTATATTGTGGTAGTCTGAATAAGAATTTAATAAAAAGTCAACCATAGAAATGTCTACTGGAGTTGACCAACCTGTCACATTGACATCGAAGGTGCAGGTTCCCATGTTGCCAAAGGAGTCCACGGCAAAGCAGAAGACCTCCGTCGATCCGTACTTGAAGACAGACCGCGACTCAGGTATGCACAACACGGAGATGTTTTCCGTGGGCGTGTTATCGTCCGTTACGTTGACCATCCATGTGTGGTTGGCAGTGTTGGTTCCCGGATCGGGCATAAGAGTGGTGTCAGCAGGGCATGTCATTATGGGTGGACTGGAATCTGTTCCATAAAAATGTTCTGGTAGTAAGAATATGTAATTGACGTCCAATGTTCAGATTTAAGAGTGCAGTCAAAAAGGCAATCAATAACTGTCATGGCCAGGTTTAAAACGACCAATTGTTTTATTGTTTTACCAAGGGTTATACATGTTCACCTCTCTCCTAATTTTTTTCTTCTTTATTTTCCACTTTCCTTCCATTAACCCTAACTCCCTAGGGGTGTGCAAAATCATATTGAAATTGGAGGATTCAGGACTGTTTTAGGGTTTAACTGTTTACTGTGTTTTTGTTGTATTTGGGATGCATATTGTACCATCTATTATTGTACAAACTAATGCTTCTGCCGTTGCTGCAGGGAATGGGCTTCGTGATCATATCATGGAGCGCTGTGGTCCAATGGTGACGGTGTTCGGCTCACTTGCCGCGGTACGTGGGTTCGAACCCGCGGACAGGGAACATGGTGCTTGTGTTCTTGGGCAAGACACTTTACTACGATTGCCTCTCTCCACCCAGGAGTATAAATGGGTACCTGTGAAGGTAGAGACTAGAATGCGCTGATCTTGAGCTTCTGCAGAAACTGGTCTCATGGCCTGATGAACAGGGGTAATAATTGTGAAGCGCTTTGAGACCTTTGGTGTAAAGCGCTATATAAGCACTATATATTATCATTATCATGATTCTGTGTCCCAATTGGTCTATACACCATGACACCTGTGACGTCACGCTGACAGGCAATTGACAGACAAAACAAACACTTTTATTAACATATTTTTCATGCTCTATTCCTACATTTACATGTCAACACTTTTAAACCCCCATTTCCACAGAGACAAAAATGCAGTGCAGAATACAAAAGTTGTTGTAAGTTGGCATCACGTGACCACTGCATCCATTTTTTTTATATAACAGATTTGACACTGCTATAGCGATGCCTGTATTTCACATTACGTGAATCTCCCATTTGAGCTAGACCCGAGTTTGCCTATGACAAACTCGGGTCGTACCTACCGATTTCAGATTCAGCAGCTTTCAACGCGATCTCTCTTATCTGATCAAGAGTTAACGAGCCATGAACAGGTGATATGGTGTATGGTGCCTCTGCCTGTGAGCTTACTGACAAAACATATCTACCAAAGTCTACTAGGTTCTTGTTTATAATGTAAAGTATTTGGAAAAGTGTCAAAAGTTATTATGTGAGCAACTTTGAATCATAAAAATCGATCAAATATATCTCGAGATATCAAATAAGAAACAGTCGGACTTCAGCCATGCTCTTCAAGGTTTCCGTTATTTGACACCACCAGCTCATGGTCACTGGCCCTGGGGAAGTGGGTGCCAGGGTAAGTGTTTATCTTATAATTACTTTACTGATAACAGCTGATAAGAGTCACAGTGAAATCAGTAGGTACAGTTCAGGGGTTTTGGCAAATGGGAGTTTCACGTAATGCAAACTGTGACTCCATCGTGAATCCAGACCTCGACCATTGGAAGCTACGGAGCACTCATTTGACCTTTCATCTTTTCCTTCTTTTAAGAAATGTTTAGCATTCCGTAGAAAGAAAATAAGTAGACCACTACAGTACACCGAATAAAAAAAACCCCAGACTTCTTCACTCATGCCTTCTTTGTCTCTATTATTAAACTAGAAAGCACTCAGAGAGCGCAAATCTCCGCCAAGGCTAAACAATTCCCCGCCATATTGTCAGTACACCCAAAAGAAATACTCGCATAAATGGTGAAGAATCCTTAAAAACTATCCTGGATCCAGACCCAGATCCGGACGACTTCAAAAATCTAATAGATTTGTAATTGTACCAAGGACTGCCCCTAAACAACTTTCATGCAAATCCGTCCATAACTTTTGGAGTTATCTTGTTAACAGACAAACCAACCAACCAACAAACTAACCAACACCGATAAAAATATAATCTCCTTGGCGGAGGTAATTCCCCCTCATATCCCCTAGCAGGGGTGAATCCAGCTTTGGCCAGGGAGAGGGGTGTTTAACAGACATGTGTTTCTTTTTTTCTGCATGATTTTCCAACTTCTTGTTATTGTTGGGGGGGGGGGGGGGAGGGGGGTTGAACCCCTACACTCCTCCGTAAATCCGCCACTGACCATGCAGTGTGTACTTACCGACAGTCACATTGAATGAGCAGTTCGTTGTGAAATCTGTCCCTGCATCCGTTGCTGTGCAAGTGATCATAGTCACAGTTTCGTTGAGTTTAGCCCCAGCCTCCATGTTGCATTGGACTGAGGCAAACTCCCCGGTGGTGTCCATGTTACCCCTGGCTTGGAGCCAGTCGGGGGACACGACGGCCTCGCTGGGACTCACCACGATATCTCCAGGACAACTGACATTAAAGGTCGGTGCTGTAAAATGATAACAAATATATGATAACGCATTTTCTCTATATATAGACACGGATCTTCCTACAGACTTGAAATGTTGAAACGGGGCACTCCATGATTATTTGATGATCATGGGATGATCGAAAGTAAGGGTGACAGAATCTTCAAAAACAAAATGCACTCACAGACGAAGACGTTGAATATACAGGTGCTTATGAGGCTGTCCATTGTGCTGTCCACAGCGGTGCATTTCACTTCGGTTGGCCCAGCTCTGAAGTCCATGGTGCCGCTAGCAGGGGTGCAGGTGACGGCCGCCGTGTTATTGTCACGATCCATAGCGGTAGGGTCGACCCAAGACACACTTGAAGCCGTACCGTCCTCGGTGTCTGGTGGCACGTTGACTTGTTCGTGGCATGGGTTGTCTTCAAAGGTAGGAGCTTAATGATATTGCACGTAAATAGACAGAGAAATTAGCTTATTTTTTATTTTACTGGAGTCCTAAGGTGAGCCAGTCAGGCCCGGATTATCTAATAGGCAGCAGCTTAGCATCCACACGAAATTGGTGCTGTGCTATATGCCTGGTGTGCAACAGACCCACAGAACTTAATCCAGCCCTGCAGCCAGTGCTCTGACTGATGCCGAGTCCAGCCACTGCATAGCACATGCTCCATTTATGATACAATTTGAAAAAGGCATAAAGGGACTGCCCCATTTGATTGGTCTTGCGTGCAAAAAGCCGAGCTCATTACCTTCACCAACAGTGACTAAGAACGTGCATGTGGCCTCATTTCCAGTCACAGAGTCTGTAGCGTTGCACGTGACGTTAGTTGCGGCGTCGTTGTCAAACTGCGACCCAGAGACCGGAACGCAGTCCACACTGACGTCGGACTGGGTGGAATCCGTAGCCGTTGCTGTCGGGTAGTCCACGGTAGTGATGGGTGAAGTAGTGTTTGGAGCAGCCACTACGTCAGCAGGGCAGGTGATGATTGGAACTGGGAAGGTTATTAAGAATAAAGATTACAAAATACCAACAATTTGTTGTAGACAGTCTAGACAGTCGAACCCATTGCAAACTGCCAGTCTTGCCGATGATCCGCTGTATACGCAAGTCAACATTGGACGGATCGTTGTAGGTGTTTGGAACCACAGTTATTTGTTTATGAAACGACTGAGAATATTTGTCTTCTTCCTAGATGACTCCAGTCCATATGAGGTTACATGTACTGTTTCATTCTCCTAGGTGGAGAGAGGCAAGTGGGTTTGAGCACACAGAAGTTACACACATCTATACAGGGTGTTAAAAGAGGTAATCCTACGTTGTGGTTTAATATGGCCGGACTATATATGTTTACCAGCAAAAAGCATGGTATCATCTTAAAGTAGAAGCTACTTGCATTCCAAAGATACCTTGGTTGACCTTCCAGGGTCACGCATCGTTGAGCACCATTATCTTGAAAATGTGGCACAAAATTGGGGTTGGTTCACTTCCATGTCGAACAAAATCAGCAGTGTGCGCCGGAGGACATTCGAGACGAAATAGCACAAGACCATTAAACAAAACTGAAGAAGACTCAGGTTTTTGTTCAATCATTGAATTTTTTCCAGCATGAGTTTCTGATTTTTCCCTCATTTGTCAAGACTCTCTACGTACGTGTCCACCCTCTCCAAACACAATCGGCTGCGATGTGGCGCATGTCGTCCCCAGCTTGTCTCACGGTATCTGGATCTTCCCCAAAAATATCCACTTCGCGCTGAAGCCAGTTACAAAAAATCCTGCATGTTGCTTGGTGGGGTGCTGAAAACATTGTTCTTCAAATGACCCCACAATAAAAAGTCACAGTGCATGACGTCAGGTGACCTGGGGACTACTGGGCTGGTTCAAAGCAAACTCTCGTTCGTAAAAGAGTTCCCCCAGGCGATTTCAAACAGCAGTGAGACGATGGGCTGATGGGCCATGGTGAGCCCACCACAGATCAACGGAAGATCCCATTTTCCTGGCGTTGAAAGTGAAAATGTTTTACTCCTGAATAAAATTCAATGAACTTCTTCATTTTTTAAGCTCCTGTGCCCTAGCTTTCGTCTTGAATGTCCTCTGGCACAATGTGCTGATTTTGTTCGACATGGAAGTGAACCAACCCCAATTTTGCACCACATTTTCAAGACAATGGTGCTCAACGATGCGTGACCCTGGAAGGTCAACCAAGGTATCATTTGAATGCAAGTATAGCATCTACTTTAAGACGATACCATGCTTTTTTTTCTGGTACATGTATAGTCCGGCCATATTTATAACCCTCTATAGTAGAATTGCCTTTTCTTGTTTTTAAAACACCCCATGTGTATGTGCTGAATTTGAGCCCCTGGCCATACGTCGAGTCTCAAATCCCAACCTCCACACCACTAAAAAAAACAAGTGTGCATCCCCATTTTTATTGAAGCAACTTTTATTCATTCTAAAAAAATTAAAGACTGTAAAAAGGTAACACTTGATTTAGAACCGTTAATTAGCACACACTACATGTAAATGGCATCATTATACCGTACCCTATTGGATGGACCATTGAAATCTATGAAAACTTTTGTTCAGATATACGTCTTATTTTTGATGCATTGATTTGACTCACACACTCGAACTTTGAACTTATTGACAGCTTCAGCCACCGAGCCGGAGCCTGGTAGCGTCCAGGATGCCACACACTTGGCGTCTGATTCCCCGGGTTGGAATGTGGAGCCCGATGCAGGCGCACATGTGACGTCAGCAGGAGGGGGTTGGGGCACAATTGCACTAGGCAGATCCCATTCCACTTTGGCAGTCTGCATTCCAGGATCTGGCCCTTTGTCGATATCCCTCACCAAGGTAGACACCTCTAATGATGGTACTGCATGTGAACACGATACAAATCTTTTGAGAATGTGCAAGGGTCATTACAACGGCATAGTTTAACAACTTTGGATATTATTGCTGGGCAAACGTTTGTGAAAACCATGGAGTGCTGTGGTCTCACGGTACGGGCATTGGATTCGTGGTCTGTGGGTAATGCTGCAGGTTGTGGGTTCGAGTCCAGCCGGGGTCATGGTGCGTGTGCCCTTGGAAAAGGCACTTTGTCACTCATTGCTTCTCTCCACCCAGGAGTAAATAGGTACCTGTGAGGGCAGAGATGGTTACTGTGATTAAATTAGCTTCCTTGCACCTAACAGGCTGCATCGAGTTGTGTACTCCCCAGTGAACTGAGATGGCATTTGGTATGTTTCATGGGCCCAATGAGCAGGGGTAATAATGATGTAGCCCCTTGAGCACCAGTCCTGGTGGATACGTGCGCTTTATAAATACCCATTATTCCAGGGAGACACCGGTCATTAGGGAGACACATAACTGTCTCCCTAATGTCACAGCCCCCCCCCCCCCTTTAGAGGAAAAATGTTACCGTTGCAATTTTTTTGTTGCTCGTGGTCTAATTAGTCAAAATACCGAAATTCGTGGGAAAAGGACAAGGGAATATTGGGTTAGGGTACGTTGGAAAAAATTGTGTGCACAAGTCTATGGGAAAGTCTCCCTAATGACCCATACCCGGTAATTATTATTATCATTGTTAACCCAAAATGACTCCATGCTGTCAATCCAGAAAAGTTTGCAAAAAGCGCGAGGGTGGTTCTACCTCAATCCTTTTGTGACAGATTGTCTGTATACATGTACTTGCCACACCGTTCAAAGCCTAACATGTCATGTTCACCGACTCACTTAGTAAAACAGTTGTGACACAGGAAGCTGTTTCATTGGGGGTCTGCTCGGCCGTGCACCTCACACTATCATTCTTGCTATCAAATTTCGAGCCCCACGGCGGTTCGCAGGTGACGACGACATTATTTCCGTCTTGATCTTCGGCGATGGGGTCCAGATGGGCAATGGTTGCTCTGTAGTCATCAGCGTCCGGCGTTCGAGGGACGATTTGGGGACAAAGTTCAACAAACTTGGGATCTGGAGAGAAGAAAGCATCGCAATGGACAAAAAGCAAAAGCTCAGAGTTTGTTAAAAGTAGTGGATCGTTCCAGATTTGGCAATAAGCCCCAATCACCTTCTGTTTGGGTATTTCTCATAGTGCTTATAACAGAGCTTGACATAGCTCGTTTTGATCTAACTGTTTGATGCCCGCTATTGACCTATCACCGTTTGCGGGTTAGCCAATCCCCTTAGAAAACCCTATGGAGTTTTTGTACACTAACTTTTATTTGTCTCAGACTTTGCGCATTCCATGTCCATTTGTATCATGCACTTGGACAATATTTCACAAGCTGTGTTGATGCGATTCCAACGCGATTCTACCGCGATAGGTCAATTTGATTGACCAACACATGATCCGAAGGATCCATTGAGCATGGATGGAAGAAAGCTGTACAGAGGGGGCACAATAATGCGTTTGTTTATGCTGCGATTCGAGGACACACACATTCAACATCATCAGTGAATCGAAGTCAGAAACCACATCAAGGACTCGACCTCAATAGAAAACCTGTACAAAACCAATGAGAGCTGTTGCAAAAAGTTAGAGTACAAACAAAGGAAAAGGGAAGAGGAACAAAAGAAAATCCTTGATTTACATCATAAACAAACGTGTGTGCGCAAGCGTGAAATACGCTCAGATTTCTTGGGTCTCGCTGCTTAAGTTTCCAATGCTGGATTTGAATGATCTTGTTGAAAGTGCCCTCCATATACCATCTCGGACCTTGCCTTAAACCATGGGCATTGTGCAACAACAGAAGGGGCTGTACTACTGGGAACAACTCACAATAGCAAGCGATAGCGATAGTCACAATGGTCATTGCAAAGTATTACATTTATAGGGCACGGAATGTGCCCCATACTTTTCACTCTTGTGAACTGAGTTATTTGTGAACGAGAATCAAAGCGATGGTAAGGAGACCTTCAACAGTGAAGTGTTTGATGTCGACTATAGGCCTATGACGATAAACAATCCGAAAGGTAACCAGTCTAAATATGTTTGGTAGATTTCTTTGAAACTCTTGAACAATGAAAACAGTTGCCTATTGCTATAAACGTACAGACTCGGACTCTGAAGTTACACGTCGTTATCAGCGTTTCCTCGGCCGTATCCTTGGCGACGCATGTGACGTTGGTATCTCCTCCTTCAAAATCGGTGCCGCTAGCTGGCGTGCATTCTACCATTGCAGCTGTGCCGTCGGATTGGTTGGCCGTTCGTTCTGGCCACTCGACGTTTCGAGCCTGGGTGTTGCTGTTCGGAGAGACGACAACATCTTGCGTGCAGTCCGGATCGGGGTTGAATATGGGAGCTGAATTCAACAATATGTAAATTTTTTTACAAAAAAACCACAATGGTTTAGGTAAGAAAACAGAAGAGTTACCTTCAGCATTGATTAGTATCGATTACTAATTTTTTTACAAAAAAACCACAATGGTTTAGGTAAGAAAACAGAAGAGTTACCTTCAGCATTGATTAGTATCGATTACTAATTTTTTTACAAAAAAACCACAATGGTTTAGGTAAGAAAACAGATGAGTGACCTTTAGCATTGATCAGTATCGATTACTAATTAAATGGCCGCTTTTTCAAAGAGCACAGGCGAAAAACTGACCATTTTCTCTAGTTTTCAGAACTGACTACCTCTTGGAAACACATTCAAAACGGGAAAACACCCATTTGTAGATTCCCATTTACATATATTTAAAGATTTTGAGTCATTTTTGTAATCCAAATAACAGTTGTTGACTGATATTGTAGTTGCATCCGTGCAGTTTAATAGTCAATCAAGTTGGATTGTCCCCATCTAAGAAATTTTTCTCCACTGAAAAGCTGCTATAATATAACAAATGAATCAGGCTCAGCCGTCCGTTTTGGACCTATACATTTTCCCTTCACACATCCAGTACAGGAATAACAAATCAAGTCCTGATGAACTTCGACTTTTACCTAAACATTACAGTCAATTTATCCACTGAATCTCTGCTAGTCTGAAAATTTGGGACTCTCAAGACTGTGTGTGAGAGTCCCAACACTTAAGGTATTGAAAACATGCAAAAATACAAGAAAATAGACTGGCACCTGAAACAACCAGTCCAACCAACTTAACTCTTCAGTACTGCATCAATTAACTGTGCCAAAAGAAATATCTCGGATTTCAGGTAGTAGTCTCTATTTCTACACATTTCTCCATAGTCAGCCACCAATAATGCCAATGAATGAAGAGGTCAGTCTTCTCAAACAGTTGGACCATGGTTGGACATGTACTAATCTAGTCTTAGCCTCATGCTGAAATCACCTGACTTCTTTCTCATGTGCAAAATATTGAAGAATAGTCTGCTTTAAAAATTGAATTGCGTCTTCAAAATTGGTTGGTGAAATACTGCGACAAATTTGGAGATCGAAGTTTGCTAAAGAGTGAGTAAAGTTGGCCTGATTTAGTTTTGCATGTTTTTTAGCACTCAAACTCCCGACATGGAACTCTCCTAAAACACCTTCTATTAAGAAAGAAAAAAAAATGTTTATTAACTTACCATCCCCAATCGTTACTTTGAAGGAGCAAGATACATTCTGTCCAGTCTGCTCACTATCTTCAGCTGAGCAGGTAACAGTCGTCGGTCCAGGGTCGAACCCATCTACTGGGTTGTCGCAGATTACGTTGGGCGCTAATTCAGCGGAGTCCATTGCTATCGGCATGGGGAAATCCACGGTAGAACCGTTGGCTTGAATTATGTCACCCGGGCAGCCCGTGGTAAATATGGGATCTGCACAAAGACAGGATTAGTAAGGCGCTAGTCACTTTTGCAATGGGCCTGACGAGTCGGCCATATGGAATTGAAAGTGAGGTAAAATCTTAATTTTTGGACCTTTCGAAGACAAATGAAAGCAAGTTAATTCCTAATTAATTCCAGTCTGCTTCAATGAATGATTTCAAATTTTTAATTAAAAATTCCCTAATGTTAAAAGCCAGACTGAAAAAAAGACAGTAAAATAAGGGTGCATTGTGCCTGCATAAATAGTCTGGCGCCATCCCATTGAAGACTTAACACTTATAGAGTGCGTTCGATTACTTCCCCCGCGCTTACTCGTGCAAGCGCAACAGCGTTCACTTTACCTCTCACGTGACTTTTCGCGCTTACTCGAGCCTGGCCCAAGTACAAGTCGGTTAATACTTGGGTAAGTATCCCACAAGGCCATGCAATAAACATGGCTGCCAACATGATGTCCAGTGGATGCCTCAAGCCGTGTCCGAAACGGGCTTCCAGAGCTACGGCTCAGCGCGTCCCCACGTATTTTCAATGGGCGCGGACCTAGACCTAGCTCTAGACAGTTGATTCGGATGCAGCCTCGGTGTAATGTCAAAGTTCAACTTTCCAGCTCTTGCACGAGACTTTACCTGAAACCATTCGTTTATTTAGATCCACTGCGCATGTCTGTCATCATGCGAGGAGCCAGGCGCAAGTAAGCTGGGGGAAGCATTCGAACGCACCCAATGACATGTACATTCAGGGTTGATTCCGAGTCTATTGTTGCCATTAATTGTGTTGATTAGCAAACAAGCCTATATTCTGAACATATGGTGTTTTGTGGTAGTCACAAAGAAAGGCCTCTATCCTTTTCACGCATGGCTGCATATCAGCAAAACTTTTACTGACTGTGGTCAATACCCAGACTAAATGTTGGCTGAAGAGAACACACTGGTTACCTTTCCCGTTTTATGGGAGAAGAGAACTTATCCAAAGGGACACTATTTTTTACTCACCCTGTATATGGTTTTGTATTGCGTGGATCTGATATATATGAGTAAACATTTTGTGCATTCATTGTTATTATTATATTAAAATATTACAAATAACAGCCTCCGAGACACCCGCAGTGCAAGAGTCTATTGGTTTTACTAACAATTAAGCAATGGCGTGAATCAAGTAATAAACAGGTAGGTGAGGCATCAAAAGAAGGACGTAAATCTACTCGATAAAAATACTCACAGACTCGAACTGTGTAATTGCACGTGGTTATCAGTGTTGGCTCCGTAGTATCTGCAGCTGTGCATGTGACGACTGTTTCCCCACCAACAAAGGTAGTCTCACTATCAGCCTGCCGACATACAGCGGTCACAGTAACTCCATTAGCTTGTGTAGCTGTTAGCGTCGGTAATGTTACTCCCTCCGCTTCATTTTTGCCAGCAGTTGGTTGGACATTAAAATCCGTGCAGTTGGAGTCGAATGTGGGGGCTAGGGTTGAACAATTTATTTAAGACTTAAATGCGCCGTGAAATGGGCATTTAATTTGCAGTATGCATAATAATGTTCAGCTTTGAAGAGCATACCAGGCCCCCCCCCCCCTTTTGATTTTATGGAGGCCAAGTGTCCGGAGAAAAAAAATGTCTACATTTAAGCATGGATGTGCGGCCCCCCCCCCCCCCCAACAAACATCCAAAGCTGGATACGCTACTGTATCATCTCAATATTAAGGTCAGTCATTTTTACAAAAATGATGAAATTATTACTTTCAACATGAAACTGTTGCTGTTGGGAAATACTTTGAAAATGTTCTTGACTCTCCATAGTTAATTATTAATTTCAACATGAAACTGTTGGGAAATACTTTGAAAATGTTCTTGACCCTCCATAGACTTTATACACAACCGCTGAAGTGGTATCCTTTTCTCATATAAATACGAATGGAATTGCTATGGATGAAAACTTACGAATGCCGACAGTCACGTCAAACGAACATTCTGCTTGCAGGTTCTTTTCTGCATCCGTTGCCGTACACGTCACAGTGGTTTTACCTGCAGTGAAGGAATCACCACTATTCTTGTTGCACGTGACCTCAGCCATCTTCCCTCCAGACCCTACGGCCCTTGGAATCGTGAAGTCCACCGTGGTGTCGTTCTGAATGATGGGAGCAGGACAGCCCACTTCAAACTTCGGAACTGCAGGGGGAGACGGATTATTGTTTTAGTGTGAATGTTGTTTTAGGCTATACGATATGCGTTCAACTTTCAAGTTCCAAGTTGTAGGCCTAATTGTGTTAAACCTAGCCTAGCCCAGGTTGGACGACGTCTTCATTGCATTAAGACTAACGTAACGTAGGGAGGAAAGGGAGTCCACCTGGGCTAAACCTAGCCTAGCCCTAGTCTATGGCCCACACTGGAGTAAATTGTGGCTCGAGAGTTCACTCCAGCAGTGCAGGCCATAGAATATATACGACTATGTTGTTCAACCATAGACACGATGGAGGGGAAGGGCAGGGTTTTAAGAAATCATCCTGCAAGCATATAGTCTTTAATCAACTTGAACGTTACAGGGAAAATATCAAACTTTACTCAGGGGATGTTTTGGTCAAACATTAACTATGAATAAAAATGTTTAGATTAGGCCACACAAAAAAAGTCTCCGGTTTCTGGTATGCGCGCGCGTCGCCATGGCAATGCGCGTCAGCAAAATGAAAAAGCTTTTTTCAATGAAAGATGATGTCTCAAAACCGCCTAACTCACTGGTTTGACTGGAATCCTGCTGCTACACAATTTTAACGTGTTTTTAGAGGGGGTTATGATCGAGAATAAGCTTTATGTGGCCTCTCTGGTCTCCCATAATATTTGCACTAAGTTTAGTCGGGCACCATTTGCAGTCATCAGCCGACATTTGAAGCAAAAAAAAAACAAATACAAAAAAAAAAGCCACGTCGCCGCACCACTTTTTGGGCAAGCTCCATACCAGAAAGAGAAACCAGAGACTTTTTTTTTGGCCTTATTATAAAAACCGCTTGTCGCATACCGCGATAATACTCCACCTCCGTTTAATTGTGGCAGTGTATATTTTGCTGGAGACGGCAAACCTTTAGTAAACGTTAGTTTGCCGGATATGCACTGAACATGCGCAGTTACTGTTTTTTTGTACTTAAACATTTTCCGGTGACAAGTTTTAGTCTGGCTCCTTGCCAAAATTATCGTTGTTACCTCGTATTCACAAGATGGGATTCAGACCATTTTATAATTTCGGACTTTAGGCCTATTTCCCTTTTAAAAAAAATCCTCCAGAGCCACAAATCTGAAAAACAAAATGTAATAATCTGCAAAAAATGTTTGAGACATGTTAAAATAATAAAAGAAGAATATTCTTATTTATTTGGGGATGAAAAAAAAAAACTTAAAAATGTGGTGCGGTCGGAATCGAACGCGAGTCATCCCGCTTACTAGAGCCAGGCTTTGCTTAACCATTACACCAAACGTGCTACACAACTTTTAATGGGAATTTAATACATGTTATAATTCAGCCCTATTTCAAAGAGTACAGCGCCCTCTGTTGATATGGATTGCCGCCGGCAAACCTTTAGTAATCGTTAGTTTGCCGTCATTACCTCCGGCAAAATATCCACTATCTTTAATTGCGTACACCGCGCCTGTCTATCATATATTTACACAGGCATCGTACATTTGTACACGGAATAAACCACACTACCGTCGGATTTTTTTTATATCAATTTGAAAAGGAAGAGTTATACTACCAAAAGACAAGACAATTCGGGAAGGTTAGTGGGCAGTCTCTATTCCGAACGAGAAACGTGATAAGACTGCGATGCATGATAGGGCATTCATCCTTCGCGCGACGCGTGTGCATGCCACCGAGTATAGCGCCCTCTGCTGTCTGATTGGTGTGCATAATGTACCAAAAGCGTCGTCATGGTGTCAACCCCTCTCGACTCCCCGCCGGCGTATTTTTTTTCCCTAGGACTAGGAGGGTTAGGGGCAATGTCATGAATAATTCAGTTTTTCCTTTGACTCATTGCAAGACTTAGGTTCTCGTTCTACTTTCCCCTTAATTTAAAATTATCTCAGTGATAAATTTGGAGAAGAAAAATAGCTGATGAAAATGAGCAGCGACGACGTGGATTCGAACCAGGGATCTTTGTATCCATAGCTCCTCTCGCTATCCACTAGGCTACTGTGCGGTAGCTCGACGACAACCGTTCTTTAAAATGCTTTAACGTATTGTAACTAGTTGAGTAACTAACAACAATGCTGTTGATGTCGTTGTCCGTTCAGTTGGATAAACATGAATTATTCATGACATTGCCCCTAACCCTCCTAGGAATAAAAATTACGCTCCCCGCCGTGTTCGGAATATGTTAGGTGCCATTCAAAATGTTCAATGTTTTTAAATTTCGATACTTATAATTTTTTTTCGAAATTGTGGGTGGGTGGGTCAGGGTAATTAATTGACAACCAAATGCACTTTTCATAGAAAAAGCCAAAACAAAAAAGCTAGATCTTGTGACTTGCTGAAACTACGCACCAGCATTCCGATGCGTGTTTCTTTTCAACTTTTTCCCCATTTACAGACATAGTGACCTGTACTGTTTAATTAAGTGTTAAAGAAAACTGAAAACACTACAAATGTTTATGTTACATCACTGCACCAAGCAACTTAGAGCCCCGAACGGGTGTTTAGGTATATGCCCGGCCGGCCGTTGTTGTACTACAAAACACTGCATTCCTTTCAACCAACCAAAAACTTAGTCCTGATTTCGGAATGAAATGACGACACGATTTACTGAGTCGACTCCGATTGGCTGGAGCGTGGGGTGGCATTAATCTGCAGTTATCAGAGACAGTGCTCATGTGGACAATGGGTGATATAACTCAGACTTCCAATGACATTTCACTGCCAAGTTTAGGTAATTAAGGACACAAACTCAAATATGTAAACACCTCAGTCGTGGACTGGATCCCTTTTGTTCCTATCACGGTTTTGTTATTCTTTAAACTTTTTTGGGCAGGGAAAATCCCCCATCGGTTTTTTGCACAATTTCCACTTGTGGCCACCTTCATCATAATAGCCCCACTTGTGTGGCCTTCGTATTGCTGCGATGTACGTTCGGCCACACGTCTGGTTTTGAGGAGTTTAGTCCAAGCTCTGGCGCACCTTTAGTGGCATTTTTTTTTTTACATACCACTGTATATAGTTGTAGTCTATGATTTCTCATCTTTTGCCTTCCGGGTAGATTAGGTAATCTTTCTTCAAATTTTTCGAGAAATTTAGACATCTTCCTGGAGTCCGAGCCATAGGCCTATGCGCCAGAAAACTCGTCAGTTGGTTGGGAAACCAGACGTGTGGCCTAACGTACAGCGCAGCAATACCGAGGCCACACAAGTGGGGCTACATCATATCATGATCATATCGAGGATCTGATTGTCCTCGGTTGTTCATGTTCAATTAAGGTGCACTTGAATGCATACTTGCCGCAACCTCCACCGATACTTACGCACGTGCACCTCGAAGCTGCACTGGGTTGTCAAGCTCGTCTCGCGTGTATCCACGGCCGTGCAGGTGACCACGTTCGAGCCCGGGTTGAACTGCCCAGAGATGAGCTCCTTGTCGCATGTCACTGCCGCGCGCTGGCCAGAGTTGTCTTTGGCCAAGGGGACGATCCAAGCGATACCAGCCACCGAGGACTTGTCTTCTGCCGCTATGTAGATGTCTTCAACGCAGGGGGACTCATCGAAGGTAGGCGGCGCTAAAAAAAAAAAATCATAGTCTCATTTAAAATAAAAAGTCGCACTGCCTTCCAACAAATCCATTTTTCCAAACGAATGTTGAAATATTTTGTGGTTTCTGTTGAGCACAGCATGCAGCAAGTAGGCCTATAGACATGGCTTTTCCGTTCCTGCACTGTCGATTCCGGGAAGACCTGAATTACGAATGATTGTACCAATACCAGTGGCGTAGCTAGGATTTTTTAGGGGGGGGGGCATCAGAATATCATGGGGGGCACATTATCGTAAACGTCCTATTGCAGTTTTTCCCAGTTGGCCACATAATGCATCGCTATGATGCTAACTAAAAAAATACAACTTACAAAAACCCTTTTTGGTTGGAGAAGGAAAAGGGACATTATCAGTATTTCTGTGGAGGGGGCACCGGGGGGCGGGGCACAGACAATTTAATTGGAGGGGGGGGGCAAGTGCACTTGCCCATTGAAGAGCCATTGAATAGGCATCAAAATTGGTGACATTACAGGTGAGAGTGGCCCAAGTATAATTTACACCCATATTTCTGGATCTAAGGACCCAAATGGAATGGGGTAAAAAGGAGTGGATTGAGAAATAGTCAGGCTTTAATGTACTATATATTTCATTGAAGAAAAAAGGCTTTAAACAGTTTTGATTATTTGTTTTCTGAATGTTGCACTTTTTTGGCGCACTCTTTTGTCTGGTACATAGTAGTACGATCGTTTTCGTTTTTAAGGACCGGTTTCCACGCGCTATGAATAATATATGATATCGTTCGTCTAACTGCCAGATCCTTGGCTCAAATTTAAACATTTTAGACAGACAAAAAGAGATTCGCACGAAAACCGTATTACAATTAACAAGTGCGAGTGCACAATAAGCTCTGGCCGTGTTGCAAGAAGTCTTCATGAAAGTCTTGCATGACATCGATCAAAATGATCCCTGCCAGAGCTGAAAATGCGACGCCGATGGCACACATGGAACATCATATTTTTTGGTCAATTTTCCGGGAACAGACAGACAGACCGACCGACCGACCGACCACCAAGTGACATGTAAAAGCTCCTGCTAGAGCTTAAAAACATGATAATTAATATCTAAAACCCATATAACAGTCCTGCTTGCTCCACAAAATATCCAAACTCGAAGGAATGATTAAAACGAACTCTGACATTCAAAACTGCAAACAAAATATCAGGGAGGAACTGTTTGCACAAAATTCCTGGCATTGTTAACTTGATTCCGAGACTCAAAGGTCGATTATGATTACAATTTTGACCGCTTTTCAAGTGGGTCTGGCTAGGGATACAAAGAGTGCATAGCATGGAGGAGTCATATACAATTCTTTGAAAATGCAGGATACTAGCAATAGAAATATGCCTTTGATATTGGATGTTGCATGTAAACATCACAACATGTAAATTACATGACACTATTGAATATTGAACATAATTAAGTGACTTGCGAAATCATGTTATTGACAGTCTCTACATCGTTGCTCCCCACTCACTAAACGATCTTGTCCGTACAATCTGCAGCTGCTATAATACATACGCAAATTCGACTGTTCAGGCGATATAGACCTTTTGCCCAGCCGACATCTTGGAGGGTGCATGCTCTGTATCATTTTAATTTAGTAACAACATCAACAACACACAAAGGTTTACTCATGATCATATCTATAAAGCGATATGTCTACGGAGACGCCTTTATGCATCAGAAAGATAAAGAAAGGTGTTATTATGTGAATATACAATATGGGTTGAGAATATCACTGGGAAAAAAATATTTAAGTACCTCTTGATTTAAGTACCTCTTGACAATACGGATCAACGGAACGGTGATGCCACGCCAAAAGAAAACTTTTGTATGTCTCGCCCTTAAAATGACCATACGTTTAATGTGTATTTTATTACACCCCGGCAACTTGCAATTATTATTTGCGGATTTCCTCAAATCCACACCCTTTGTGTATATTCTGAGTCATTATGTTCTTCAAACTGCAAACAACAAGTTATAATTGTTTGCTTGATTCTGCATACGCTAATGTGAAATTTCATTACCTTAAATGGACAAAAATCCTTAATAACCATAGTTTTCATGTCGATATAGCAAGCCCACACCCATGCATAGCCGATATGTTTTTCCACGAGTTCGAAAGGAAGGCATGTGCCACGGTGCATATAATGTCTCTGAATCATTTCAGGTATAGTGTAACTACGCTGCTATTATGTGGGGATACGTTTTCGATCGCGGTTTAATTAAAGGTAATAGGATATATGCTTTGTGTATTTTGTTCCGTTTGTGGCAACGAAATTGCTGTTTTAATTAATGAAATAATTCAATGAAATTTCGGGAAACTGTTGCTTAGTTGACGTTGACATCCCAGTGGACTCTCAGTACATGTCTAACGAATATCGTCAAATTTTCAAAACGTGTGCCCGCGGTCACACTGATAAAAAAAACCCAACTCCAACAACTGTTTTCTTCCAAACGATGCCATGATTATGAGAAATGATTTCAAAGGGTATTATTATGGTACCAAGTTTTGTCATTAGAGCAAGGTTTAACTCATGAAATCGGTAGGTTTGAGTCCGGGTAGTCACTTGCTATATGTGTTATAGTAATCAGCTCGTCCTCTTGAAGGCGGTGTGAATGCGTAGGCCTACATAAAACATGGTTGCAACATCTTGAATCAGAAATTGGCTTTTATAAGAGGAAAAGTGGCTCTCATAAATTATGCATAAACAATCTTTCGTAATGCGTCCTTGAGAAAAAAAAAAGACTTCACAAGGAATCAGCCCTCAAAAAAGTAGCTAAAAAAGAATATCAAATTCAGGCAATCAGGCACTGCATTATTTGAAAAGCTTTACGGAAAACAATATCGGATTTTCTTCGAAGCACGGCATTAAAGGGTGCAGGCCAGAAAATAGACCCGAAATTGCCTAATAGTAATACGCAGGCCAAATCACGATTTGCGTGCCCTCAAATTCTCCGGTATTAGAGCATTGTCAGGGCCATGAACTTGAGAATTAAAAAAAAAAAGGAAGAAGAAGAAGAAGGGCGGAAACCGTGCAGAGAACTGCCAGCTCGTATATTTCTGTGAAATTGGGATGAAATTAGGCCCTAAAATTGTTCTATTTTGCCATGGAGCGTAGGCAATAGGCATCCTTTTTTTCCAAAATGGCAATGGGCTTCAGGACCACTTTTAGGAGTGATCATCTTTGGATGGAATTTTTCCCCAAATGTCTATGGCATAAGTTACCCCCCCCCCCCAAAGAAAGTGAACAGATAATGAAAGGCAAAGAAATAAACTTTAATTTGATGTGTGTCTCAAACATCTTGGAGAGTTGTGAGTATTTTAAAATATTTATTTTGGAAGTGTGCGTAGTTATCATTGAGGTCTTTGGCAGTCTATTTACTGGTCTGCAACCATGGCAACCAATGCAATCCCAGAAGATGCGAGGGTGTTGCCTCTCCTCATAATAGGTGTAGCTTTACTGTTACGTCATGGCTGTCACTACAGCCAAAACATGAGTGCGCTGCTGCAGTTATAATCGGAAAGCCTGTTAAATCTTGCCAAAAGAAGATTGTTATTTAGCCCTTGATAATTTCATTGCAATAAACAAAACAAGAGACAACATAGCACTCAGTATACATCTACAGTATACGGGTTCAACTGCAATTTTTTTGGATTCTTATTTTTCGCCGACCGAGCGATCCTACTTTAGAGACTAAGAAATAACAGCACCATGCATAGAAATAGAAAGGGGTGCATGCGTGCGAGGGAGGAAACGAACGTACCTTGACCGTACGTTGTCCCACTGTAGACGCAAAGAACAGCCATGACGCAAAGACACCATCGTCGTCGGATAGCAGACGTTACCATGTTGGTATGCACAAATAATTTAATGAGTAAACTCTCGTCGAAAGAAGGTGGCTGATCAAGCTATAAACGCAACCAGAATGGCATCAGATCCTAACCATTGTATTCAAGTTGATAAGTCACAATCTCGAATAATAGCACATCGTCACAGAATAGCAAGCACGCTTTGGTTAAAATAGGCCTGTTCATAAATTATTTACTTGGCGACTTGGTTAAATATTAACGTTTTGCCAGACAATTAGAAGTGCCCAGGTGGACGCAAGAGTGTTAAATTATAATTATGGGAAGATTTACTAACCTACGATTTCTCTATTTTGTTCTCATAATACCCATACTACACAAATCTCTTGTAAAGCAATAGGGGCCTATACGTGTGCGGCATTATGCTGATTGCACGCTTGCCTTAATTCCTTTAAATTTTGTCATAATCATAGAATAATATTATGGGGCACAAGTGGATGCGGTGTTTGCTATATTTTGATGTGGCTTTTTTTTCGAAATGTTTGCCAATTTAATAAGCAAAGAAACTTTTCTGCTCAGCAAACAATCGACGAGTGAAAAAGAATGTAAATAGCTTGTGACAGGTTGTCAACTAAATGTTGGCTTTGTGAGCAAATTAATTTTGCTTAGTACTGAAAAGCTCGATACAAAAAAAATAGGCCTGATCTCAGACTGATTTTATTTTTGATCCTTTGGTTTTCTCCACGCAAAGTATTGTAAAAGACTGACTGTTTTCACTTATATACATTATTTTAGATTTTATATGCAGATATGTACTGGTTTTATGACTTGGGGCCTAATCCACCGTTTATATAGGGTGCTTCAGTTTACAAGAGCGAAGTCAATAAGGTTCCGTTTCATCGTGATAGCTTGCAGGGCATAATATTATAAATGAATCATAAATACAGGTGCCCAGTTATTAAACGGAAGCCGTTGATTGATAAAGTGAGCAAATGCGTCGTTAGATAGACTATTTTGTTTTGTTTTGTGTCTTTGTTGGTTGTTTGTGTGTGTATGTGTTTGTTTTTTGCTTTTTTTCTTTTTCTTTTTTTGGTGTCGGCAAATTGCAAAAGTGCCAGATTAATGGAAAAAATAACGCTGGTGCCAGCAAATATTTTCCTCTGTACGAAAAAATAAGGATCATTTCTTTTAATATTTCAAAATTTATCAGCGTTCGCCTGATAAGCCGTCGACAGCTTTTGCAATTCACCGGCTTCTGGTTCAAACGTAATTAATAATTACTCTCACTGTATGTGCGTGTATGTTCTCGGTGCTTGCTTCTTGATTGTTCAGTGTTTGATAATGAGGGATAAAGTCCAGATACCTTTTCGTATCCGCCCGAATAGATCATAATTTTCGAAACAACAAACAACTCATTTAAAGGAGAAACCTGAACCTTAATAATGGAGCATATTTATCTTCAGCCATGCGAGAATATTCAGGAAGTGGAATGACATATTCACAGCAAAACATACAGAAAGCGGGGTGATCAAAGAAAGTAGGAAGTGGGTTTAAATTTGCGTCGAACGGTTCAAAACTTTCGATGCTTGTATATTTCAGAAATTTTGTTTTGCATTAACCGCGGGATCAGTTTCTGGATAGATTGTCCATTTCATTGTTTTGTGTCCAAGCTCCTTTTTTTTTTATACCTGTGCCCGAAGAGCTTTCTGTGATGATTCAAAACCCATTGAATGGTCCATCCGGTAAATGACACCTATATAGGGCCGGGTGCCACAGCAAATTTAACCTTAATACGTCACTGTGCAGAGTGGCTCAATGTTAATGTTAGCAGAACTGATAAATCCATAGCAAATTCAGTACAGTGTTCAGCAAAGCTCAAGGCCTAGCTTTATGAAAGCCATATGGGTGCACACCTGTAAATAGGCCTAAACCCATCCGCCGAGCTCATGAATAAGAGTTATACCCTCAAAATATTCTATATTAGAGAGTTCTGAGAGTCATAACATTGGGGAATTGAAGAGATATGGCAATGAAACTCTGGCCCGGTTGCAAACCAGTAAATAGGCCGAAAATTGCATACGTCGACAAAATCAAAGTGCCCTCAGCTCAGCAGTTAAAAGAGAGTCTTGTGGCCAATGGCAGCGGCACTGGAGGGTTTTTGGCAAAGAAGTTCCCAAGGTATCCATATATATCCGGACTTGGAACGTAAATTTCGGGGCTTAAAGTTGGACCTGAAAGTCACTATACTTTGCTTTGGGGTGGATGGATCATTGAAAAAGATGGACTTCTTTTAGGACGAAAATTGCGTTACGATGCCCAACAATGGACGTTCGGTTTGTGAACCGGATTTAATTAAGTCATCGAATATGTACGGAAACCGTAGAGGTATTTAAGCTGCACAGATCATGATCAACAACGATCCCTCCACAACATGGCAAAATAGCACCACTTTCGAGCCCAATTGCAATTGAAAGCCCCAAGTCCGGTCCGGGCCAGAAGTTCATTGCCATATCTCTTCAATTCCCCAATGTTATGGCTCTCAGAACTCTCTAATATAGAATATTTAACTTTTATTCATGAGCTCGGCGGATGGATTTAGGCCTATTTACCGGTGTTTACCCCTAAGATTCGTCAGGAATAGTCAGAATATTTTGGTCTGGGAACCAGACTAGCCATTGCACACTGTACAATTATTATGTTATCATATACAGTTCTTCCTAATCACAACAGCAACGAACCCCTTTATCTATCTTTAATCCTAATATGAACACACGTATTAACAGCAGCACTTTCGGCGAACTACGTCCACGAAACGGCTAATTAGTATGCGCGAACTACTTTTCGTACGTTTTACACCCCAAACCAAACCTGCGTAGGTTTGACCGTTAAACCTAAATAGTGCCCTCAATAATGACTGAGAGTATCACATATAGGCCTACTCGGTAATATAATTCTTTCGAATCACTACGGCGTACCAAGGAATTCCAACACGCCGTAGTTTCTCTTTCAATACGGGACGTTACACTATTGACAGCGCACACTCTGTTACGTAATGTTTAACGCAGGAGGAACCACCCCTATCAGTGGCGCAATGGGGGGGGGGGGGGGGGGCCCTCGGGGGCTTGAGCCCCCTCCCAGAGGTTGTTAATTTGTTTATTTTTATTTTTGTAGTCCCACGATGTTACCTTGGTGATAATTGGACTATTGTCGAATAGTATAACAGGGGTGTAAGTGTCGTAATAGGGGTGTAAGTGGCGCCACCAAAGTCAAAATAGTCCGCCCCCTAAAAAAATAATAATAATAATTTTTGAACAAAATGTGACCCCCCCCCAAATCGCCACTGGTTTCAATGCCGTATCTCGCTTCCAATGCTACAGACCCGAACACCGTCGAAATGCAGGTTGATCGGGCAAAGCTGTGTGTGCCCTATCTGCTATTTGTATCGCGATATTGGAACAAAAGCGGAGAAGTTGAAATGGCGATTTCGTGTTCACAAAAAAAGTAATGGCGGGAGAGCGAATTATGAATCGGTGTTGCACCCAAAAGTGAAAAAAAGTAATTGGTAACTTTTCCACGGCGAACCATTGTGCATGTGCATTTGTGGTTTGATCCTTCGGAAACACCGCTTCGAGTCGCTCGCGCGAAACTGCGAAACCTCTCCGTGCAGTCTTAAAACAAACCAGGGATTGGGGACGACGCGCCGCACGCGCACGGTGAACGGGCCCGCCGGCCGGCCGCAGGTGAACATTTCGAAATTGCTTTGGATCGACGCTTTGAATACCATTTCGTATTCCGCAGGTCTACTTTGACGGGTTGACATCCTTTGATGGAGTTTTCTCCCATAAGTCATAGGATAATTTAACTAAAATTTAACACAAAATAAAAGATTATGCAATGAACTTTAATTTGGTGGGTGTCTCAAACACCGTGGAGAGTTGTGAGTATATTTTAATAATTTACGGCAATACGCATAAATATCACTCAGGTCAATGGGAGTCGATTTGCAGGTCTGCACCCATATAGACACCTAATGAGAGGCGTCCTCTCTGGGATTCTACTGCTGGTTTTTATACCGTATACTTCGCGTAAATTGATATTAATTTTCAATCACTTCAAATATCACAGAGCATGATTGCCTGACTCTTATATAGTTCCCATTTGTTACATTTCGGTAAATTATAGGGTTCTAGAGGTTCCAGGTTTTTTTCCCTGGTCGGGAGCACATAAAAATTGGGTCAGATAGAAATGAGAATCAGAGAAATGCAGCAGCTTTTATCCTAATATGAAACACACGCATTTTAACAAGAGCTGTTTTGGCGATGAACTACGTTACCAAAACAGCAAATTATGCGCGAACTACTTTTCGTTCGTTTAACTCCCAAAACAAAGTGCGCGTATGCTTGACCGTTAAACATGAATAGCACCCCCAATCAACTAAAAGTAATCGCACAACTGATCGTTATTGTACACTTTACAAATTATGTAATCGTATACAATTCTTTCGAATCACGACAGCGACGAACCCTCTTTGTCTATAATCATCCTAATATGAACACACGTAATTAACAGGAGCTCTTTCAGCGAACTACGTCGCTGTAACGGATTATGCGCGAACTACTTTTCGTACGTTTAACCCCAAACCAAACCTGCGTAGGCTTGACCGTTAAACTTATATACTGCCCTCAGTTGAGAGTATCACCATAAATAATCGTCATTGAACAATGTATTCTTTCCAATCACTACAATACCAAGGAATTCGAGCACGCCTTACTTATCGGGCGTTACACTATTGACAGCGCATACATGCATTTGTGGTTTGATCCCTCGGAAACAACGCTCCTAGTCCATCGCTCGAAACCAAACCTCCCCGTGCAGTCTTGGGGACGACGCGCCGTACGGTGAACCAGCCCGCCGCCCGCCGCCCGCCGCCCGCCGCCCGCCGCCCGCCGCCCGCCGCCCGCCGCCCGCCGCCCGCCGCCCGCCGCCCGCCGCCCGCCGCCCGCCGCCCGCCGCCCGCCGCCCGCCGCCCGCCCTAGCTCCGC